TGGTAGAGCCTACAGACAGGAGGCCTGGGCATACTTCCACTTGCCTTCTCCAAACTTTTGTGTGCCTGTTGGGTGGAAGGTACTATGCTGGAGCCATCCAGAATCCAGAACGGTGTAAGACGTCATGGCCTGCATGGTGTGACCCTTGACTTCTGAAAAAGAAGGAACTGGTAGAGTGGGAAGGAGACAAGGGGCAGTAGAGCTGACATCATCAGGACTGACTGCAGTACAAGCAGTGAAAGGAGCCACTGAGGAGTTAACCCAGTCCCCTGGGGAGCTTAGATGTGAGACTTACACCAGCCAGCACTCCCCAGCTCTGTGTCCCTGGGTCCCACTGAACTTGATTGCATTTTAGTTGCCTCTTTTCTAAGACTGGAGCAACAATAATACCTTCCTTGAATGTGCATGTGCAGTCCATAGATGGTAGCCAGTGTTCTCTTCCCATGAGAAGACTCTGAGCCTCCTCACTAGAGAGTGGTCTAAAAACAAATGTATCCATCCACAGAAGGTCAGAAAGGTTTTCATAGAATCTTGACTTGGTAGCTCTTCAGGATCTAACTCGTACTTTCCAGAAGTGTGGCCTGTGGTGTTCTGTCTGGGGTACTTGGTCCTCCCATCCACCTCCACCTTGCTGTCCTGTCCTGTGACTCTCACTAGCTCAGTCCCGGGGTCAGGAAGCCCTGCCATGAAATGCTAGATTTGCAGGCATTGCCAAGGTTTGCGTGTTCCAGGCATGGAGAGAAGAATGGGAAGATTGATGAGGATCAAGCCCTGGTAGAGCCTACAGACAGGGTCCCTGGACATACTTCCACTTGCCTTGGGTATGGTTTGTGAACCAATTCCTAACCAGTGAATCAACGATTGGTCAAGTGTGGCTGCTATGCCTCCTAGCCCCGCCTCCTTAGGGACCTCACTGGTCCAGCAGCTAAGCCTGGCACCCTTCATACTCAAACTATACTCAAACAAGGTCATAATAGACTAATGATCTAACTGTGACTAACAGGTTCATGTGATTTAAAGAAAGACAGCATTTTTTCTAAATTTCTAAATTCTGCTAAATACAAATCTGAATGTGTTTACCTTTAGACAGATTTTCCTAGAAAATTGTCAGTGTTCTCACATTTGAAAGTAGATCAGATCTCCTCCCTCTAGTTTTGAAAATCTCATGTAGGTTTAGCCTCTCCCCAGAGTGACAACGACACAAGAAGTTTATAATTTTATGCACAGCTAAATGCAAACTGAAAAGTGTGGTTTGTGTGTATTTCATTTTTCCCATAATGTTCATCAATTTGGTGATTCAAATAGGATTCAGAATCCTAGGTGTTCACAGCATTTTATATGAAAATGTGCATGAGAGTTTGGGGAATAGAAATTCCTACCAAATAAGTTAAATTTACTCTTGATAAGAATATATTTTGTAAAATGTAGAAAACTGAGAAAAGAGTTTAATACCTATTTTATCTGCACCCTTTTATTAAACAATGGCCTGAATTTACTAAAGGAAAGAGAACAAGGTTGAGAGGTAATCACTGAATAATAGCTTCGCTAATCCCACAGTGACTGCTTCTTATGACAAGCAAGAGGGTCACCTTAGAGGCAGGACTGTCTTCAGGGGCAAAGGCAAGTCAGCACCTGCAAACCTCTCAAAGTGAGTGAGTAAAAGCAGGTCGTATGGCTCATTTTGTAGCTTGCCAGAAGCAATGTGGGAATATCGTCAGACTGCACAGCCCCCAGGGCTAGCTGACTCCTGGAGTGCGAGGAGCTCTCAGTGACTGCTGTGCATACTCACCGACTCTGTGACTTTGTTCAGTCCCTACCCTGGATGTGCAGTGAAGGGTGCCAGGCTTAGCTGCTGGACCAGTGAGGTCCCTAAGGAGGTGGGGCTAGGAGGCGTAGCAGCCGCATTTGACCAATCGTTGATTCACTGGTTGGGAATTGGTTCACTGGGGGGACACCATTACTCCCCATGCCTCACGTGCAGGTGAGTGTGTGTATATTTGCATTAACACACAAACACACTTATGTGTGTCCCTATGTGTGCAGCTGCAGTACCTTACACACCTTCCAGTGCCTCTCAAGCATCATAAAAACAGCTTCCATAAAACCTCTACTGCCCACCTGGCATCCACAGAGCTCTCAGTGAATGGCTCCCACAAGATACTGAACATTAGCGTGGAACAGAGTGAGTTTCCACATGTGCTGTTGTATGTAATTACCTGTCCAGCTAGAATAGTACACACTTCTTTTACTGAGCCCTAAGCTTGTGTGCATGAACTGGGATGGTACAGGAACAAGGGTGAGCACTTATCAATTCAGCATTACTCTGGAGACATGAAATGAACTAATAGGTACAGCTGTATATATATTTTTAAACAATTTTGTGATTTTTAGGGAACCACATGTTTGGGACAAAAATCAACAAGTAAATTTGAATTACACCAGGCAAAGGACTGATTCTTTTGAAACATGATTGACATTCAATGTCTAACTTTCCAAAAGAAGACATACATGTGGCCCACAATCATATGAAATAAAGCTTAACATCACTGATCATTAGAGAAATGCAAATCAAAACCACAATGAGATACCATCTCACACCAGTCAGAATGGTTATTAATAAAAAGTCAAAGAATAACAGTTGCTGGTGAGGTTGTAGAGAAAAAGGAACGCTTATACACTGTTGATGGGATTGTAAATTAGTTCAACCATGTGGAAGACAGTGTGGCAATTCCTCAAAGACCTATATACTGTTTGACTCAGCATCCCATTACTGCATATATACCCAAAGGAATATGAATCGTTCTACTCTAAGACTCATGCACCCATATGTTTGTTGCAGCACTATTCACAATAGCAAAAACATGGAATCAACCTACATGTCCATCAACAATAGACTGGATAAAGAAAATGTGGTACATATACACCATGGAATAGTATGCAGCCATAAAAAATGAATGAGATCATGCCCTTTGCAGGAACATGGATGGAGCTGGAGATCATTATCCTTAGCAAACTAACCTAGGAACAGAAAACCAAGTACAGATGTTCTCACTTTTAAGTGTGAGCTAAATGAGGAGAATACATGGGCACATAGAGGGGCCTATCAGAGGGTGGAGGGTGGGAGAAGAAAGAGGATCAGGAAAAATAATAGGTAGTAGATTTAATATCTGGATGACAAAACAATCTGTATAACAAACCCCCATGACATGAGTTCACCAGTATAACACACCTGCACATGTACTCCTGAACTTAAAAGTTAAATTTAAAAATATATATATTTAATGTCTAATAATATATTATAGTATTCTTCATATTCAATGGCAATGTGTGAAGTGGGAAGTGTCTTGACTGAATTCGGTATTTCAGGGCTTACACTTTGACTACCCAAGACTGCACAAGGCTACATTTTCCACTGGTGAGACAAATTTGAGACACATTGCATTCAGATCTAATCTCTTAGTTCCTTAATCTTCAGTGTACCAGTAAACATGAAGACCTCCCCAGTGCTGTAGTCATCATCATATGTACAAAGGTGGCTGAGCTCTGGCTGTAGAGCTGCAGGGATATATTAGGAAGTTAGCTCTCAAGGCAAGTCATCTTCAAGCACCATATCGGCATGATCAGCATTGTAAGCAGTATCTCAGTGCTTCGATGTTTAGTCAGAGTTTTGTACTCTATCACTCACTGTAATGTTCCCATTTGCAAAAGGTAATACATACCCTTTAAAACATCTTTGCTTTTTCTCCCATTATCTGAGATGCTAGCAGCTTCATGAAGCAGAATAACTAAGGGAAAACAGATTATATAAAGGGTTGGAGCTCAATGAAGATGCAAGAACAGCAAAAGTTATTGTAAAATTGGCTGTTTGCAGGCCAGCAAGCACATCCATATGGAGGCAATCAGTTTGTGCTACCTCTGTTTGATAGAATTCATAATATTGACTTTATCCATTAGATTTGGACTACCAGGGAATGAAATAAGCAGATGAAGAATAAGAATTTGCTAGGAAATAATTTAGCCAATCACTTCAAGAAACAGCTTTCAAAGTGTCTCTCAAACTATGTTTGCCCATTATCCCAATAATTTATTTCCCAATTATTTCATGGGAAAAGAAGGATGTTCTGTGGTCAGATAAGTCTGGAAAACACTGGATTAAGCAAAGTTAAATAGGTCTGTTTCCCTGCAGGTCACCTCAGAGTCTTTACTCTGCTAACCTAGGAACTCATCCAACAAGTTTAATTTAACAGCTCACTGTATACATAACTTTAACAGTCACTGAGACGTGACTCTTGGGGGAAAAATTGTATGTGTTTGTATCTGTGTGTGTGTACACATGTGTGCACATGTGCAGAATCTGCCAAATCTTAAGAAAAAGGAACATGCTGGGAAACTGTCCTGTGAAAGAGAATAGAAACCTGAAGATTTGAGGCAGTGATAGCATTTATGAAAGCAACTGATAAGTACTCATCACTGAAATGGGTAGCTCTTTTGCCGGTTGGGGAAAACAATAATTTTTCCCCACCCAATGTGCTGCATTTTCTAATTTTCTACGAACACTTTCTAAGAAAAAGCTGAATGAAGAACATTTGCGATGCAATCAGCTCATTAAGAAACACGCACTTTTGTGGAGATACGTACTGTCCCAGGAGACGCTCTGCGCGGAGCCTGAGTTTTTGGATTGGAGCTGCTGAATGGTTTCGCACAGTTCTAGAATGTTTGGGGCTGCACCCTCTAAGATGTTGAACCCATCAAGTAATTGCTCCAAACCACTTTATGGGATATAATGCTGTGAGTTGAGACCTGAGGGAATTGTGATCCTGTTCATGAGTAATTACTTTTCTGTTGCCTATAGGAGGGCCAGCAATAGCAGATGAGTAGCTGAACAGTGGTTTTGAGTAATAAAACGTTCTTTTTAAAAAAGTAATGCTTTCTGTTAAACTCTGACTATATCTCTCTCCTGGTATCACAACCCAGCTTTCTTTTTGCCTTCTTTATTGCAGTTACATATGGGGCTGATGACTTTAGGGATTTCCATGCAATAATTCCCAAATCTTTCTCTCGTAAGTATATGCCTTGCTTCTGGAAAACAAAAGCATGCCTTCATCTCCTATCATGTAAATATCATATATGCATGTTCCTTCATCAACGCCTTCATTCATGCTTGAAAAAGGAGATACATTAAATATTCACTGTTCTATTCATTAGACACCTACCGTATCATTTTTGGGTATTTATACCATGAAGTGCAAAAGGAAGGTCTAGGCAGTTGTGCGGTGTCCTGGGAGCATGGTAGTGGAGTCACAGTAAGGGTTGGAGTCGCAGTAGCACTGATGGGATTGTTGCTTCACTGATGCTGCTGGACAGCTTTGAGATTACTCTTGTGATTATCTCCTTTTTATTGAGTGTGAGGATAAAATGGCCATACTTTCTGTCACCAACAAAGAACTGAACATGGTTTCAAGATAATTTTTACAATTTTGTGGGACAGGAGAAAGAGACATGCTCTTCATCTGTGGTTCTGGAGTATTAATTTCAGAACTGAGAAGAGAAAATTGCAGGCCTCCAGGCCGTTATTCTGTGGTGCGTTGCTGCTGGAGCCAACTTACTGTTCATGCTTGTTGCCCGCAGGACCTTCTCTGATCTGAGCTGTTAAACCAAAAACAGATGTGAATTTCATTTTTCTTTTTTAGATATTGAGAGCTGATAAATGATAAATATATTTGGGTAACATCCTCAAAGAAATACTTTAAAGAACAGAGAGTGCTTTTAAAAATGTATAGAGAGCTGAATATTTAAAGTCATACAAGTTGATAATCCCCTTAGGACCTGTATTAGTAAATTCTCTAATACTATGAAGCAACATCAGAAAACAGGTTGCATTTGTTAACACTGTGACAATTATAATTATAGGCTCTAATTTAAATAGTGCCAATGACAGTTAAAGATAGTTTCTGACATTCTGGTTATCAAAAACTATCTGGTGTCTAAGGAATTTAACAGTATCAAAGTACACGCTTTTGCTTATAAACTAGATTGGCTACTTTTCCAGCCTATAAAAGTTACAGAAATCTTTCTTCTACTGATATTCCTTTGGTTCCACTTTAAAGCAATAGCTTGATACCTACTTTTGTGAGATGTATATGTATGTACATGTAAATGCTTATATATGTGTATCTGTTTACACATGAGCTTATATGAACATATAAAACATAATGGTATTGGACAGGGAAATGATATTGAAGAATCATATTATTGAAGTATTTTGATAAGTCAAATGCACTTGAGAGTAAGCTAATGCATCGTGAAACATGTTTCTGTGAAGTCTGAGGAAGGTGTCAGCCAGAGCATATTGCAGTGTTGAAGCAGACCCTTCAGTGAAGCCTTCAGTCTGTAAGATTTGCTGCATGTGAAGATGTATTAATGTTATGATACTTACAGTTTTTATAAAAGAGATGATATACACTTGGATACACTTTCTGTCTGTATTTGTGCAAATGTGTCCATAAGGTATTGGTGTCTCTCTTTCTCTTCCCCTCTCCCCAGTGTTGGAATTGTGACTATCCTCCTCACACAAGTGGCTAGTTGGTCTTGATGCCTTCCTCCACAAAACAGCAACCAAACTGTTCTGGGCCAATATCACCACCTTGTGGTCATGATGAAGAATTGCCCTCTTTGCCCTTCACAGCTCTTCTTAAAAATTAAAAACAACCCCTTTGACCCCCTCTACTGTCCTTATTCCAGTTTGTGTCCCTAGTTACTGGAGGAAAGAAAATGTCTGTTGCTCTTTTTTATTCTATCTTTTTACTCTTCTGCCTTTCTTTTGTCTCCCTGACTTCATTCCATTTAAAGGCCTTAAATTGCTAATAAGGAGAAAAGTATTTTCTAATAAGGTACCCTGCTGAGACGAAAACAACTTTCTACATTTTAGATGATATTAAGTTATAATAAATGGTGCCATGAACCTTAAAATGCTTAAAAGTTTTATAAATCTATTTTAGAGGCAACACACACACACAAAATATATACACACACACACACACACACACACACACACATATCCTCTTCATCTCAAATTTTCACTTAATTACTGTGATTCAAGATATATTTTAAATATTTTCATTTCATTTTATTTTTACTTGCTAGTCACCAATGTTGCAAGAATATTTCTGTCTACCATTTTTCAAGTAAAATATTGAGCATTTCAAGCTTACGTGGCCTAAACTCACGCTGGAGTGATTGCTTCGGACTATCTTTTCAATGGAAAAATGCATTCTGAGTACCAAACATTTACTTTTTCGGTAAATATGAATACACATTCTAAAAAGGAAAGGAAAATGAAGAGGAAGCATAACTCACTGGTCAGGTGGGGACTGACAGTGTACATTATACCTATGCATTAAAAAATGTTTAATTATCCATGAGCACATACAGTGTCTGGCACAGATTCAGGCCTCTTGGCTCCTCTTGGCATCTGAGTTCCTTGTATTCTCCAGATTCTTCAATCCAAACTTGTCTATCTACCAAAGTCCACCTTCCATACGGGGGTGTGGGGTCTCTCTTAGTACTGTTGGGTGCCAATAACATAGAAGTCCTCCAAGATAGGTCAATGAGATTTTAATTTTTCCCAACTTTAAATAGCATGGGAAGGAAAGCAGCTTTTGACTAGGAGTTTGAAAACATCCACTCTTCATATTTATTGTTGCATTTATTGAATAATAAAATTGGGCTCTTGTCCATTGTCTCTCAGTCAACGAAAGAGCCCAGGGTGGTCCTGAGCCAGAGTGTTCCGGGGAAAGAGAAGACCAGTCTCCATTTCATGTTCTATATTTAATCAGTTCAATTCAGCACCTTACTGAGTTTGACATTTTTCTAAGTAATGGGGTGGGGGGGTTACAAAATATTCATAAGTATCTTTCCTATCTTCTGGGAGATGTACCATTTCACTGAAGCAATACCATAGCTAAGCAGTTCCAGCTAAGAGTAACAGAGGAGGGAGGGAGCGATTTAGGAACTCACAGAAGGGCATGGCCAGGAAACTCGGGCCCTGGCAAATGTTCCATAGAGACAGCATCCATGGGATTGAACCAAGCACAATGCCTGCATCACAGGGGCAGGCGGGTTCATGGAATTGATTCTGGGGCAGGTATGAGCAGCACCGTTTAAGGAGTGGCAGTTGTTAAGAAACTGAAGGGACTTCTCATAGGGCATTTTCAACAGAATTCAGCGGGAGCCTTGCATATCCCTTTGGGTGGGCCCCGGGGTATTATGAAGCTGCCAGGAGGTACACAGCTTCAGTAACTGCCAGTCATTCCTTCCCAACCTCCTCCTTCTTTCGTGGAGGCATCAGCTGGTGTCATTGCCTTCTGCAGGAGGATGGATTTCAAAACGAAGGGCTGCCAAAACTCACACTCTCGCAGAGCCTCCCTCACAACTGCATGTGTTCACTACCATCGACAGGCCAACCCCCACTTGTTCTTTTCTTCTAGGTAAAGGAAAAGGTCTGCGGGTCAAAGGCCCTGAACTCCTCACTCCTTGAATGGGAGGCATATTGGTGGAAGCTGTCACACAACTACAGGTGTCAGGAACCTGCCATCAGGGTTCCCACCAGCCTCCAGGGCTTGCTTCTCTGCTCTCTGTGTGGACACCCTCCGCCCCTGCAAACCCCTCTCTCAGAAGAAGCTCTTCTTGCACTCACCTCCCACTTGCCTCTCCTCAGCACCTTCTCCACCCTCAGGGGCCAAACTGAGGAAGTGTGAATCCTGTGCCATCAACCTTGCTCACAGGAATTAGTTTCAGTCCCCACTGACCGACTTCCTTCCAAACCTGCACCAGCCTGTGCTGCTCTTTTTAAAGGAGGCATGCGCACGGCTTGGCTGGTACAGAAGATTCCAGATTTCAGTGACTACAGGACTCTGTCACCCCTTCTTCTGTTTTTCTTTCTTCTGTCCACATCTGTGATTGAGCTCACCTTCAGGGAAAACCCCAGAAACCTTTTTCACACTTACATGGGAAGCCAAGACACTCTCATCCCGGGCTTGTGTTTTTAAAATGTGTATTTTAATTTCACAGGTCCTTACATTTATGACTAATAGGTTTCAGATTTTGAGATACAGTCTGTAGCTGCAACTTACGAAGATAGTTTCAAGCCCTGATTTCTGTCATCTATGAAAACAGTAAGCAAGTTGCTTATATTCTCCTCCTAGCTGGATAAGAGACCCCCATTTTCATGGACAGCCTCCTTGGGTGGACAGAACTCTCCTGATCTCGTCTGTGTAACCAGCATCCACTTTGCATTTTTCCACAAAGAAACGAGGAGCTTAACCCCATTTATGGGAAATCCACACACTGCTTGAATCTAACGCGCCCCATGGTGACGACTCTGTTCCCACCAAATCCTGCCAGCGCCTGGCAGTCATCCAGTCCCTGTCTTAGACTTCACCAACCTTTCCTGTCATAACATGGCTTAGAAGCTGTCTGAATAGTGCTAGAAGCTTCCAGCCCTGGAATGCTCCGCATCTGCCATCTAAATTCCATTTACAATGTTTTGAGCATTTGCTGATACAGGTTCCTCTGTTCATTTTCCGTTATTTTCAGTTCTTTGGCCTTGCCCACAGTGATCCGTGGATATTGTCTGCATACTCTTTTTTAGAAACCTAGAGCATGGCAGTGTCCTTAGTTTTCCTCTTGGAACTCTCTCTCTCTTCCTGAGCTGATCCTCCCTACTGCTGTTCCTACAGACTTATGTGACCAATCTTCTGTATATGTCCCTACATCTGGCCATCTAGGTGGAGATCTAGGTACCTATCTCCCTAAAATCGTACCTTGGTGTCCACATTGATCTCAGGACAGTATGTGATAGGCTCTTGTGCCTTTTTGACTAGGAGTTTGAACACATCCACTCTTCATCGTATTTATTGTCACATTTGTTGAATAATAAAATTGAACTCTCATCCATTATCTCTCAGTCAATGAAAGAGCCCAGGGTGGGCCTGAGCCAGAGTGTTTGTGTCCCTGGTTCTCTTTTGGTTCTGTTACAGCTCTCAGTGACAGTGTCATGAAGGCTAACAAGGACAGAGTACTGCTTTCAGCCACCATTTGTCCAATGAGTGACTGATCTCCAGGCCTCTGGCTTTGAGGACATCTGTGATATCTATGGCAGCATCCATTGCGGGCTTTCCCCTATGCTTCTGCTTCCTTCCTGTCACATAGCTTTGCCGCCTCCTGCAAGCAGCCTGCTGTAGCAGAACTGGTGATCCTGAAGCCAGAAACCTGAAGGTCATGTCCAGTGCTTCCCTGCTGTTCTGTTCCCCGCCTGCAAGCGCCCACACACTTAGCAACAGCACACACCATAGAGCACACGGAAGAATCCCAGAAATACTCATTCTTAATGATCCAGAAAAACAAGTGATAACTTCTGGCAAGTTCTAATAGGCCATATGTACCCGTGGGAAAGCAAGAGTCAATTCTCTGTAGCTGGTTGCCTCTGAATTTATGAAGTCAAGCCAAGTAGGGGAATATGCCAAGGGGATTATCCCCATGCCTGTTCTTCTGCGTGGCGTCCTTTTTCTAGCCTCAGAAGCACTCCGCCTACACCTTCTCTACAGCCCTTGTCTTAGCGCCTGTTTTTGAAAAACTTGCTACACCAATCTTAATTTGGTCCATTGTGTTCTAATCTTATATTAAAAGCCACAAGATAAATGATTAAAAATAATCTTAGATTAAGGAGTACACAGATCTTTGCAACCTCATTGTGTTTCCAGAGCAGGTTGGTGTAGACACTGGTGAGCAAGGAGGACCTAGAGAATTAGCTTCCTCCCAAAAAGATGCACATCCTCTACCTGAGAGTACCGATTCCAGAGAACTCAGTGGTGGTTGAGCACCATTGCCTCAACAGCCAACCAGACTCACTTGCCTGCCTATCTCTTTATTTTCCAAGTATCTTATCCCTGGCAGTGGGGAGAGGTTAGCAGGAGGCTGCTCAGATGCTCTGAGTCTCTGATCTTCAGGATCTGAAGGGAAGAGCATTTGGAGAATCCCCACTGCTGGATTTCTCAGGACAATTCTGCATGATGCCAGGATCTGAGGGAGGAGACAGGCAGCTCTGTTCATCCTCTGGTGCATCCTCACTTTTGTGGTCTCCAAGTCCAGCATGTCTCAGTTAATTCATTTCATTATTCATCTGTAAGTCATTTCGCTAAAGAGCTAAAGGGAAAACACTGGCAGTACAGTTAGCCCTCCATTTCCATGGGTTCAGCCTCTGGAAATTCAACCCACTGTGGCCTGAAAACACAGTATTCAAGAGACACGGAACCTGTGGATATGGAAGGCAGATTTTTCATATCCACAGGTTCTATAGGGCCAATTTAGGGACTTGCACATCCACAGACCTTCAGGAGTCCCAGAACTGATGCACTGCTGTTACCAAGAGATGACTGTGTAAGTGGATGCTGGGGCCAGGCTGCCTGCAGTTACCTTCCGGCTCTGCCACTTGCCAGCTATGTGACCTTAGCAAATTGTTCAACCTCTCTGTGCCTCGGCTTCTTCAACTGTAAAATAGGATAATGATAGCACTTCCCTTATGGAGTTGTTGTGAAGGTTAAATAGCAGAGAGCAATTAATGTGCTGTCTGCCCAGCATGTGGTATTGGGGTTAGGTGGAAGACTATACTGGGATCACTGGGGGTGAGCCTCCACGTGCCATGCCCCAGCCACTGTCCTCAGCTAACTTCTCATCAGTCAGCCCTGTTAGGCTGGTGCTATAATAAATTCCATTTTCATGGATGAGGAAATCAAGGCACAGAGAAGTTACATGACTTGCCTAAGATCTCAGAGCTTTTAAATAGTGCAGCTAAGATTCCCGACCAGGTATTTTTATTTCAGTGTCTGAATTGTAGTTCTCTAAATTGAGAGGAACTCGCTGAAATAAAATAAGCTTGGAGTGTTATTAACTAAGTTGGTTATTTAAAACAGTTGTTCTCAGTCCTCAGGATACGTTAGAATCTTTTGGAGGGTTCAGTAAAACAGACTGCGGGCCTGCCCCAGAGTTCCTGAGCCAGCAGTTCTGGGGTGAGCCCGAGAGTCTGTGCTTCTAGTAAGTTCTCAGGTGATGCTGATGCTGCTTCTCCAGGGACCAAACTTTGAGAACCATTGATTGAAAATGTTGATCAAAAATTATGTAGTCTACACTGAGCACAGTGGCCACACCTGTAATCTCAACACTTCGGGAGGCCAAGGCAGGTGGATCACTGAGCTCAGGAGTTCGAGACCAGCCTGGTCATCGTGGGAAGACCCAGCTCTACAAAAAATACCAAAAACAAAAATGGCCGGATGTGGTGGTGCAAACCTTTAGTCACAACTACTAGGGAGGCTGAGGTGGGAGGATCACTTGAGCCCGGGAGACAGAGGCTACAGTGAGCCATCCCACTGCACTCCAGCCTGGGTGACAGAGCAAGACCCTGTCTCAAAAAAGAAATATTTAGTCTTGATTGTCATCTATCTCATCGATCATTTTACTTGGCAAAATTTACCTACCTACTCTTAATTAGTCTGTAAAAATGGTTGTTAAAATGATGGCTTTCAGTGTAACTACAAATTCTGTTAGTCATTTTAGTGTTGGATTCACCAGTGTATCATCAGTCAGTGTTTCTGATGTATGTAAATGAAATGTTTCCTACTTTCTTCAGGAAGAAAAATATTCAAATGACATAATTACCCTATGATGTGTGACTTAAAGGCAACAGTAATGCAGAGTCAATAGTGGTCATTGTATTCAAGACACTAAAAGTTCACCTCCCACCCTCCCCGCCGGCACACACACAGCCTTCTTTCTCTTTGGGAAAAAAAAAAAGCTCTTCCAGATATCTACATTCATAAACTATCCCAATTAACCCTTCAGTGAGGGGAAGAAGTGTAAGAAATGATTACCTCTTCTTTAGAACACAGGGTTTGTTTATGTTATTTAAGATAAACAGGAATTCAAATGGTCATGTACCGAAGAAACAGAAAGATCTTCCAGAAATCTGAAGGGGAACTGTGGTCAGAACTCTGAGCATTTTTATGTTTACTGAGTTTTGTCCCAAAGTGTATTAATGTTTACATGCCACAAGGAAAGGTAGCATCACAAGTAAGTGACATTTTCAGGCTTGTTAACCACTTATTAGGTATTTTGCCAAACAAGTTCTCACATCCTAGAGAGCTGGATTGTGTGACCCAGTACCCACCCTCTAGGGCAAGGTGCCCATCTGAAGGGTAGGGTGTAGGAGTCGGCTTCAGACCACTCCTGACATGAACCTGCTTAAAATGGGGGCCCAACTCTAAAGTGGGAACTATGTAAATACCCTTCTAGTGCATTTTCAGACCCTGGCAGTGGGGCCTATGGAGAGGGCTGGCAGATCTCCCTGTGACCCCAGGTGCATCCCAAGGCCTGCCACCAAAGCCCTCTCAAGTCTGAATGCATGGCGAGTTCAGGCTGCTCTCCCCTTGGTATTTGCTAAGAACTTCTGTTTAGTAGCTCTCCACGCCTATTTGATTGTCTTTTTGCTGCTGTGTTGTTTTGTTGCATTTTTTTTTTGCAATGACACTGAGTGGCCTCCTGTATTGTTTCTTTCAGCCAGTAATGTTAAAGTAGAGACTCAGAGTGATGAAGAGAATGGGCGTGCCTGTGAAATGAATGGGGAAGAATGTGCGGAGGATTTACGAATGCTTGATGCCTCAGGAGAGAAAATGAATGGCTCCCACAGGGACCAAGGCAGCTCGGCTTTGTCAGGAGTTGGAGGCATTCGACTTCCTAACGGAAAACTAAAGTGTGATATCTGTGGGATCATTTGCATCGGGCCCAATGTGCTCATGGTTCACAAAAGAAGCCACACTGGTAAGGCCTGGCTCAGTTTTTCCTTTAGTGGCCTGGAGAAGGTGCATGGGGTTTGAAGGAGGAAAGCATCCTGTCTTCCTTGAGTGTTCTGAGCATGTTTCAAATTGACTGGTAGCTCAGTTGTTGCAAGCGATTGGTTCCAAGTGGTACCGAGTCATAGAGTCATTATTCTGGTACGGCCTTGAAAAGGACTTATCAACAGGTACCAATTCCACCCTATACGTAAAACAAGGGGAAAGTGAACAGCATCACATGAGAGGCCTGGCGAGGGCCTGCTATTATAGTAACACATACTAAGTAGTCTCAGCTGAGCCCTTAGGGTACATGTGCTAGTCATCACCCTCCACAAAACAGAAAATCCTGATACACCAAAATTTACTCCTCAAATTTTCCACTGAGAAACCATGAGTAAAATGTGTGTTTTAATGGTATTCAAACTAACAGGGTTTGATGTGTAGAAACAATAGTGAATGATGGAATAGCAGCAAAATTGAGTTTTCAGAAAGACCTCAGATGAGCTTTCAAATGATTTGCCCTCTACCAGGGGAGACTGAATCAGATGCTTCTGTTACCACTGGTTATCAGCTCAAATTCCTAAAGAACTTCATCCCAAATCCTCTGTCTTACTGAAAGGTTTACTGGAAGTATAAGAGAATGTCATGTTCTGTGTCCAGAAAGGAAAGAACACGGGCACCCTAGTGTCAGCGAGTTGTGCTCAGGCTCACAGGATGCCCCCTCACCAGGGACGTGGGAACACGGCGAGCCCCAGCTGGCCTCGCTCTGCCAGTGTTTCTAATAGTCGGTCACGTTGATGGAAGTGTCACAGAGTTGTCCAACAGAACTGTCCAGTCACCACCACTCATGGTGCTGAAGGGTCTTAGAAGTAAAATATGAATGGCACACACTTATTTAACTGTCGGCAGGAGGTTTCTTATGAATTGAAGAGAAACTTTTCTTTGCATGGGAAGCTGTTCTAAAGTTGGGTAAAACACAATAGATCCACCACCTCTAGCAGCCACTGAAAGCTGGAACGTGAAACATAGAGACCCTAAGCCATCACTGCCTCTGAGCTGGCATCATTAGGTCAGCATAAAGCTAGCGTCTCCCACTGCAAAACCCAAGGGGAAGAGTTAGTTGAAAATCCTATTTTAAAGGCCTAGCAGATTCTATAAGATACCTCAGGAAAGTGATGACGATGACTTGACATCAGACCCTCGTGTGCTGCTTCCGTGCGGGCAAACAAAAATATGTTTATCAGAAATTAAGAAAATTTCGTGAGCCAAAAAAGCTATATTATCAGGAAATGCAGATATTTGTGGGGTTGTAATTTTTATATTTGAATCAGGGCAGTTTCCAAACTGATCCATTCCATTTGTAGTGTATCTGAAAAACTGTAAAAATAAGTTGATGTCAATAGATACCCATCTTCAATAAAAATTCAAATTCTAAAATTAAGCAAACTTTGCTTTTTCTAATGGCCCCTTTATCCTCAAATTACCCAGTGAAATAGACCGATCACACTCAGCCCTAAGTGAAGCAAGCGTCCACGAGAGTAGTCCCAGCCTCACCTTTGTGATGAGGTGGAAGTTAACATGAAGGTAGGCTACCCTGTGATAGACACTTAACAGGATACTCCGAGACCCGTAGTGATACATCCCCGATGAGGAATAGACCTCACTAATGAATTACTTGCCTGTTAGTTCATGTAAAGCCTGACTGTACAGTGAAAATTCTCTAAAATAAATATTTGATAAGTGAGTCAAATTCTGGCATACTAAATTGCCAAAATATAATGACTGCCTGCCTTGATAAAAAGAATAATTACATTTAATGAATAAACCTGCCAAGTACAGATATGCCAGGTGGCATCTGCTGTTTGTTGTTCACTTCTCCCAACAAATAGCAGCTAGGTGCCACCTGCACACCAATAAGCTGAGTTTTTCACTTACAGAACAAATAACTTTCAGAAGTCAATTTTATACTTTCTGTCTTGCCCTTTGTTAAAAACAAAAAAATACCCACACTTGAAGCAATGAACTTGTGAATTGTCTTCATCATGCATTTCCACTGCCTAAATATAGACAGTCCCAGATAGATACAAAATACCTGGTTTGGCCAGACTTGGTTTGAATAACTAGATATGCTAGAAAAGGTTTTCATTTTCCTGGGATCTGAGTGGAATATGTTACAAAAGCCATGCTTTCTGAATTCTCTATGCTTAAAACATTTCTAGAGCAGTGCTTCTCAAACTTGAAAGAGCATGTAAATCACCTGAGATCTTGTGAACATGCAACTCTGCTTCAGACCTGGGGGGAGGCCAGAGAGCAGGCATTCCTAACAAGCTCCCAGCACGTGGAGCACAGAGCCGCCTCAGGCGGCAGGGCAGCGCAGCTGAGCAGTGACAGAACAGGGCCGTTCGGAGGGCTCTCCATCTGGGGCAGGCTGGTACTTGCACTGTGGCCATTGTTCCTCCTCCTGCTCGTGGCTGAGTCAGCTTCCCAGTCCCTTCCGGCATACACTGAGGGAATTCAGGGGCGGTCTCACCTCTACCCATATCCCCATGTTGGTTAAGTACCACTGGGGCCATTTTCTAATCAGCTCATGGGCACCAGCCCGTCATTTCCCCTGTTGCGCAGCTCAGTTTTATATTTTTGACTCGGGTGTAATAGTAACATCTTCCCCACCAGTGTCTCAGGGTTAGTGTGAGAACCAGAGGGGAGAGAGGTAGTAAGGAAGCAGGAAATGCAGGGTGCAAATACACCGCATTATTATTCTAAATGATGGGGTTTTTAATAACAAAGACCAAGAAGATTGTCTGTGCCTACCTAGTTCCTGTCTGTAAGATAAAAAGGTTCAGTCCCCGAGCTTCCTAAACACAGCACCCTAATGGCACTGCTCCTCCCAGGTGTGGTTGCAGTAGACCTACGTCAGTTCTTGCAGTTCAAACATATTTTTTTCACTTTCTTCTGATATGCCCTCAAATTCTAGGACGTAGGCATCCATGAAGACTTCCGTTTTTACCCAGTGAAGTTATTAGAGGGGGCTCAAACCTTCTTACAGAGGGTTCCTAAAATGGGAGATCTGTGGAGTCATTGGGATTAAAAATTAAATTTCCAATTCATGACATCAACGTCCTCATCCCAATTAAGTAAAAATAAATACAACCTTGGAGAAACTTGACCTACTCAGCTGCAATAGCTGTTGACCTGCACAAGGCAAATGATGGACCCCGGCCACGCAAGAACACACATGGCATGGGCTGGGTTCTTGTGCCCCAGCTCCAAGAACGTGTCTTCTTAGCTGCGGACCCCTCCAAAGGAAACTGCTTGAGTGGAGTGCTCTGTATTGTCACTCCTGGGAATGCTCTGTTAAGACCCCCATGCCTTATGCTACATGTTCATCCCAGCAAAGGCACTCAGAAGCAAAAAAGGTTTCCAGTGAAATTTGTTTGTAGGCAGGTATTAGGACACCAAGCACTGCAGGATCCAAGCGAACCCCTGCCTGCCTGCCTGCCTGCCTGCCTGCCTGCCTGCCAGCCTGCCTGCCTGCCTGCCTGCCTGCCAGCCTGCCTGCCTGCCTGCCTGCCTGCCTGCCTGCCCTGCTCTGCTCTGCTCTGCAGAAGGGCAATGTGTCTGCAGCAGTCTGCCCTTTCTGTCTGTGATGGACAGAGACCCTGGCTCTGCCTCCTGTTTTCCCTGTAGCCCTCCAGACCTGGGGAGAGACATGGGACTCCAGCACCTGCCCAGCATAGAAGGGGGTCTTTCCCAGGTGTAAGTGTAGGGCTGGATTCACGAACTTAGGGTCATACCACAAACACTGTTGTGTCACCAGGATGTCCTCACATCCTTACTGTGAGCATTTTTGTGGAATGAGCTTTCTCCTGAGAGGCCACCCTGTCCAAATGAGAGCTGTGGTTGGAGGCATGTCCATCTCACGCTGTCTGGGTCTCCCTGCACCAGCTCACTCTACTTTTCCTTTTTATCCTTTTGGAGTTAAATACACACAGTTATGCACAAGTGCACGGAAGGCTCAGAAGTGTTCCTAACAGATAATTAAATGATCTCTCTCCAGTGGAAACTCTCCTGGGCTATCTGGCTGCTAGCTGTTTTAGCCTCTTCATCTAGTATTGATTTACATGCATGGGTTTGTAACTCAAACAGTATAGTTAGTTAGTTAGTCAGTTAGCTTGTTTCACCATCACCTTCCAACCTGCTTACATTTAAACTCTCCTCTCTGCTTAGATAATACAAATTTCTATAGGGATTTGGAGAAATACCAGATACCTCCTGGTTAGTATCAGGACCTCTCCATTGGCCTATAATTGAACATCACTGTAAATTAGTTTCAGCTTTTATAGTAGTGCCTCTAACCTGCCAGCTTAAAAAAAAAAAGTGATGATAATCATGAAATTCAAGTGTCAATATAGACTTTTAAATCTAATCTGGTGTGGATGTTAATAGTGCCAGATATGCTTCTGTGTAATCATTTTTGAGAAGTGCTGTCTTCTTTACCATAATCATATTAATCAATCGGGAAATGGTTAAATAGACATTTTAATACATTGTTTTTTCCTGAGAAAAAAGTGACTCCAGGAAATATGTTGTTATGGTCTCTCAACACCAGGAATTGTGGTCACATAGGATTCTTCTTCTAAATAAAGCATTTGTTTTACAAAAGAGTTTCATGTCTACTTAAACATGACAAATTATCACTCTTTGAAGTGAGAGTTAAATGAAATGTTCCCTGATTTAGATTCCAAGACCTGTGACTACTCAGTAGGACAATAGTGTATTTCTTTTACTCAGATACCTGTTTATCCCTTTGTCAGCTCTGGAATGGAGGCACAGGTGCTGCCACACAGAGCAGAGGGTCAGGTGTTGTCTTAGTCACAGTTGCAGCAGTCCCACCCCGGAAAGAATTCCTTCATAACAACTAAATTGCACCTCTTAGAATACCTGTACTTAAAATATAATTTGTCTTCTATGGATATAGACAATTAATAGCTTAAATGTTTTAGGATTTGTAAAGAAAGAAAAAGCTAGAAATCTCAATGCAACTCTGACTTGTATGCCCTGCCATAGGGAGGTTTGGGACTTCTCTTTGGAAGATGGGGGACTTCCTTCACAGTTTCTTAACTTCTCATTTTATTCAATCTTTCTCCATCTCTCTCTCTCTTTCTCTCATCCTCACGCTCTCTGTCTGTCTCTCTCCTGATTTGCCTGCTTAGGGACAGACAGGTAATGGAGAAGAAATTGAAAGGGAAAATACAGGGAAAATGTAAATGAAAAGAAGTTATTATAACTGTTATAATGAAGTGCCTTTCATTTAAATATAAGAATGTAACGCTGAAATGAACTTGTGATCCTGAAATGCATTTTTAATGAGTTTCCTTTTTATTTTGCTGCTTCAGTGGCATATTTTAAAGACCCTTTGAAAAAAGCCACATTAAAAACCCCACCAAATGCCACAACACGCAAAATTGGATATTGGTTTATTCCAAAACTGCTGATCAGGAAGAGTGGCTCTTCATCACAAAATGTTGCAGTCACTTTATTTAAATGAGTTTGAATTTGCATTGTGATGTGCCATTCTGATTTAGGGAAAAAAAATTAGATTTTCAGATCAAATTGACCCAGCCAGTGAAGCGTTAAGGAGCTGGCAGGTTTAGTCTGAAAGCCTCGTGTTCTATCAAACCTGCAGCCGGTGGAAGTCACCAAGCCCCCGTGGGAAACAACTTTCTTGTAGCATCGTCCTCGTGTCCCCACGCTAAGTTTAGTTCTCACCAGCTCTCCTCTCTCGGTCCCAGGAGAACGGCCCTTCCAGTGCAATCAGTGCGGGGCCTCCTTCACCCAGAAGGGCAACCTGCTCCGGCACATCAAGCTGCATTCCGGGGAGAAGCCTTTCAAATGCCACCTCTGCAACTACGCCTGCCGCCGGAGGGACGCCCTCACTGGCCACCTGAGGACGCACTCCGGTAGGTCCCCTGGGCGCAGTCCGGGGCTGTCCGGGTGTCCCGGGACTCCTCCGCTCTGCCTGCATGGATCCCGGATTGTATCCTTGCTGGCTAACCTTGAGTACCCCCCAGCTCGCAGTCCTGCATTGGGTGTGGGCCGTCGCTTCTTTGACGTTGCCCCATCTGCCCTCCCCATATTCTACTTTTCCCACTGCACCAGGGAGATTGGGCGCAGGGAGCCCCATGCACACACACGCACTCACACACGGAAGTCTCACCTTAGGTAGCATGTTTCAGAACAGGCCTCCTCATCCCGTTTGTCAGGCTGGTGTGGTTTCCACAAAGGATTTTGCGGGAAGTGTTTTCACCAAGTGTACTGCTAAGACCCAAAACGTTTTCAAGTACAATTCTTTATGTTGTTAAGTCCCACTCTGGAGTGTTTTACACAGGTGTAATAGGATAGCTTTTTTGCAGAGCTGGTAGAGAAGGGTGATTTAGGGCACACCCACCCAGACTGAGCCCAGTGTGGCTCTCACACCAAAAACCAGCCAACACCACAGTTGCAGAGGCCAGTCTGGGGCTGTTACCAGATTTTAGACAGCAGCCTTTCTCTTTCAATTAGACAGATAAAGTACAACCCACATAGTCCGGAGTCTTGGCAAGATCATCATAGGCATAAATGCTCCATTATTCTCAAAACACTCCCGGCCTGTAAAGTCCAAATCCACTAAAGTTTGGTTAGATCCTCTGCCTCCTGAGAAATAGTCCTGGGTGTTTCATTATCCAGCAGTCCCATAATTCTACAGGGCAGAGGAAGAGAGGGCTCTTGGCCGGCGTGTCGTGGATCATGTTTGCCTACAGTGTGGTCTGTACAACATGACATGGCAAAGGTCTCCTTCATACCGTCCAGTTGGGGGTATTTGCTGTAGCATACCGCATGAGGCTTTGGATGTGAAAGGTTGATGGCTTTTGTCCTTTCCCTCAAGGGGCCTCTTGCCCCAGCCAGCCACCAGCCAAGGCCCTTCTCCAAGCAGCAGGCTCTCTAAGCAGGTGCACTGGGGGATGGCAATGCCTCAGACCAGCTGCTCCTCACCTACCTGGGGTAGCAGGATAAGGAGGAGCCTCCCTCAGGGAGGCGGATGTGTGTTGTTTGTGGAAGGTCTGCAGCGGCCCAGGCCATCTCTTCCCAAATGTGATGCGTGTATTCAATGGTTGAGGGTTTTAGGGGCCGCTCATTACATCCATCTCTTTATCACACATTTACTGACTGCCCCTGGTGCCCATTCTGCACAGAAGACCTCAGGTGCACACAAGGAAAGCACCAGTGTGTTACAGGAGGCATGACAGAGCGTCTGAGGGGACAGTGGGAGCATAAGGAAGGGGACAGTGGGTCCTGGGGTGGAAAGTCAGGAGAGACTTCCCATAGAAGGGAGGGGCTTCTGAAGTACGTGCTGGAAGGCGAGTGTCCGAGGTTTGCTTTAGAGAAGTTCTAAACGAGTGTGTGAGTCGGCAGTAATCCCAGAAAGGGGTGTGGCACCCATGTTGCCAAGAACTCAGTCTCTCTCCTGGCAGGTGACCCTTGTAGTAGCTCACCTAGTTGGCTGGAGACAAAAAAGAGAGGAGTCACAGAGGCCAGTGCATCACCTCCTCTCCATCCTGACCTCCTTCGGGGCGGTGCATGTGGAGAAGGATCCCCACATGCTCTTCATCACAAAATTGTCATGATTTGGGTGATCTGACTTCCTAAAAACGTCCAAGAAAGGAGCTATACCAAGCTGAGGAGTTGCTTGCCCCAGAGGGCGGGCAGGTCAGCAGGCGGGCCATGGAGTGGGACACTTGCCTTGTTACAGAGGGACAGGGAGAACGGGTGGTTCGCCTGAGATGGGAAGACAGTAGCATGACGTGAGCATCTTTAAATGTTCACATGGGTGATGAGCATGTACGGTGGTCCCACCTGGAGACAAAGGTGGTACCTGGGCCTGACAGGCAAGGCCTGTGGAGGCCTCAGCTGAGAGGACTGTGCAGTCTGTGCGCCATGCTAACAAGTGATCTAGGAAGAAGCTTCACATCTGTTGTTTCTAAGGAGCCATGTAGACACGGACACAGTTGGCAGCAATACTGCCTTGGGTTAGTGGGAAGCACCGCTTCCCATGTCAGTGGAAAACACAAGCACTCATTCTTAGGTTGACACCAACCATAGGTCATCATCACTCCTAGATTACTCTCATTGCAATGGAATCTCTCATGCACATCAGTCCTTAAGAGTAGAGCTGCTCTCTTTCCTCTCTTGTTGTGGAGTTGGGACCATCTAGTAGAGTACTTTATGTTACTCTGGCTCCAGGCCTATGTATTTCATTTGAGGCATGATGGTATCCTACTCTAAGTACCACTGATCACTTGAGTAATTACAGAATGGTGGTAGACTTTGGACTGTGTATTTCTATTCTGGATCCATGGATGAGCCAGTGGAGAAAACCCATCATGGATGCAGGGCTGCTAGGGATCTGTCTGTCCGAAAATGCTGTAGAGACACACACTGCTCTTGGGGAAAAAAACAGCGATGATTTCTTCAACGTGATTTCACTGAAGTGAAATAAGTACTTTGGCCTTTGTCTGGCAAATTCAAATGTGGCCACACTCTACTCCATTGTGGAATGGTGACTCCCCTGTCCCATTAAAAACCAGGATCAACATCACAGCTTTCTCTAGCAACTGGTGGTGGCCTGAGGTCTTATGAACTAGCATGTTAGCAGGGAGAGAGTTAGGGAATTTGTCCCATGCTGACAGCAGGAGGGGACTGGGGGAGCTGGAGGGGTGGAGAAGTGATCTCCCTTCCTGCCTCATGGCTTCCTTTGGAAGTTGCAAGCTTAGAATTTCTTTCCCACAGAATATTGGGCTATGCTTCAAGAGACACTTGAGTTCAGTTGCTTACAGTGAACATAGTTCTTATGTTCCAAAGTTAAAATCAATCATATTTTCAGAAAAATGGGTATTCAGACACCATGTCATATATACAGGAAGCAATTTGATCATGGAATTTACTGAAGTTATAGCTTTTTCAGGAAAGGACATCGAGTGGTTATCTATATCCTATTAATTTCTAAAAACAATACTCAATAAAATGTGCAATTTTAGGCAAAATTCTGTGTTTCAACATTATCTCCTGATACTGGGGGTACATCACTTTATGTAGATAAATAAAGGTCCTTTTCATTCTCTATTAAATGGTCCAGAAGTCAAATTTTGGCTTTCATGTTAGTCTTCTTCCTGTAGCTTCTGTTCACCTAGGAAAGAGATTTAACCAACATAAGCTTTGGCTAAACCATTGTACCAGACATTCTATTTGGATGCTCTTAATTTTTATACAATACTTGGAAATATGTTCAATAAAACAACATGAGAAAGAAGTAGAAGATTCTGCTATTAGGTTGGAAATTTATATTCCTTATATAAGTGATTAAAGATACTTTATTCAGTTTGTCTCTTAAAATGGTATCTACTGAAGTCCTTAAACTTAGGCATGATATGAATTCCTGACTAGTCTTTCTCTTTCCTAAAATATCACTCAGTAAAATCCAGAAAGGACTAAACCTCATTATATAGAACTGCACTGCCCAATACAGTAGCCACTAGCCACATGCAGTATTTTTAATTTTTAATAAGTTAAAATTAAACAAAATTAAAACTTCAGTCCTCAGTGGCACTAGCCACACTTTTTATGTCCAACAGCTACATATTGTTGGTGGCTACCATATTGGACAGCACCAATAGAGAGCACTTCTATCATGATAGTAAGTTCTGTTGGACAAGGCTGATCTAGAAGCTACACCATCCTAAAGCTCTTTGGCAAGAAAGCAGAGCTTTTCCATAAGCTCTGTTTATGAACAATGTATTTTGTATTTTCTATGTATATGTATGTAAAAATACATATACATAGAAATATATGAAAATACATATACATATAAATATATATACACCTAGAATAGAAATATATATACATAGAAAATACAAAATATTTTGTATTACATATACATATGCATGGAAAATACAAAATACTTTGTCTTACATAATACAAACATAAGATATGTTTATATTATGTAAGAAAATACATTTGTGAAATAACACACTTATTTCATTCAAGCATATTTGTCCAGCATGGTTTCTTAGAGACCTCAAGTTACCCAGTTTAGCACCTGGAACTGAATTCACTCTGGCTATGTTAGATGTAGCACCAGCATCATGGCAGATCCGGCCCACAGCATAGACCGAGGCCTACTCTGGAGGCAAATCTGTGGACAATGTGGCCAACACACCGGCCTTCCTCACATCTCTGTCCAGTCGCTGGCATCCACATTATAACATGGCAGCGGCTCATTTTCTCCAGTTAAAGGTTAGGCTTCCGTGATTGAAGCAGGAGAAAATTTGGTAGTCAGTAGACAAACTAAGACAAAACAAGAATCGCATGAGTTCTTGGTACAATGAAAGAAACCCTTGGCCACCAACATTTTTGAATTCAGGAATTTTCACCAAGTCCATCACACTTTTATCTCTCAAGGGTAGAATTTTTTTTTAAACTTTTTTGGTAATAATTGTATTGCATGCATTTCCCTTACACATAAGGCTGGCATTTAATTGGGGTCTTGAACTCAATTGTGTTTTCTGCAGTTGGTAAACCTCACAAATGTGGATATTGTGGCCGAAGCTATAAACAGCGAAGCTCTTTAGAGGAACATAAAGAGCGCTGCCACAACTACTTGGAAAGCATGGGCCTTCCGGGCACACTGTACCCAGGTAAGCGCTGCTGCTCGGAGGCCAGCCTGGTGGGCTCTCCCCCCAGCATGGTGGGGAAGGAGGGCGCTCTGCATGCAGCCTTAGGAGCAGAGCCTTGGGCCTGCTTCCTGCCGGGGCTAGGAGGGAGGAAAGTTTTTGGCCAATAACATCACAGTTTCACCAGTAGCACATTGTGCTTTCTAGGTCCTCATCTGACCAGAGAGAGCTTGATTTTAAAACCCTTCCCACTTCCGATCGGGAGAAACTCCTAGGATAGCAGTGACCTTAAAAGTTTTGGGGTTGTTTTTTGGATGTTGGTGGTTTTAAAACAACAACAACAACAAAAAACAAACAAACAAAAAAAAACACCTCAAGTAGTGATTATTTCTTTGTAAACAAAATAAAATGTAAAATCTTGTTTTAAAACAATTTTTTAACGAAGTTTATCAAATAAGAACTTTCAGGCTGTGATTTTAAGCATCAGTTCAGACTGAGGGCAGGGTATCCACTCCTGCCTGAAGAGTGAGGTTGAAGTTTGTTGGAAGCCCCTGGTAGTTGATAGTATTGAGGTTGTCGAAGGATGAGAGGAAAAGTCGCTTCTTTCTCAGGAGCTGTGATGCTCCGCTGTGTTGCATAACGAGATAGCACTTGATTCCAACCCCAGAGCCTGTAGAATAAATGATGTGGAGAGATTACCAAGGAAGGCTGGATTTACCTGGAGGAATGGCAGTGTTATAAAAGGTTCTTCCCTAATTTTTTAAGAGATAAACAATTTATAAAGAGATCATATAAAGCTAATCTCTTTCAAAACAGTATTCATTTATCACTGCTCCTGGAAAAGCCATCACTAGACTGTGAGGTCACAATTTAACGAATGGTGGAAAATTTATTAAGCCTCGTTCATTCACCTTTCGGACTTTAATAAATGGTTCAAAAGGGAAAATTCACCAGAGTACCCTCAGATTATTAGTGGCAGATGAGAGGAGGAGAAAAGAATGTTGGGAATGGCTAGAAATTGATTCCGATTAGTCTTGGCATGGAGAGGCAACATCTCACCTGGCCAGAGCTCTGCAGCCAAACTGTTGTCTCCTTTGCCAGTCAGCCAGGGATCTGGGGCTCACAGGTGATTCCTCCAGGTCTCGGTTTTCTCCCTGTGAAATGGGAAGATATCATTAAATTATCATTTGGCTTCTTTCAAAATCTCAGGTCTAGAATGGAAAGGCATTGAAGGTGAGTGGAAGAGAAGAAACTGGATGTTAAAATAATAATAATGTAACAGTTATTAATTCACATAACCAGACCCCAGGGCAGAAGACTAATGGATGAGAAGATAATTATGTTCCTTTGAAATAAAATGTCAACACTCAAATATTGTATTTTTCTGTAAAAAATAAATGAACGGGTCTTGGAAGGAAGTGCTCCTAATGATGTAGTTTACATATTAATGCTTAATAAGCCATTTTATTTACTCAACAAATATTTACTGAGGACTTATAATCAATAATGCCAAACCCTATTGAATACAGGAATCTGATATGCACATAGAATTGAAAAGACAAAATGAACAAAAGAAACAGACAGTATATCATTTCTGTTTCCTCCACTGTTTTCATTACCAAAGAAACAAGCTGCAGTACACGAGAGCTGAATCCAGGGGAGCGAGAGAAGCAGCATTCATTTCACTGAGACCTGGGTTTGAGTTCTCTGTTTTTGAATGTGACCCAGAGCTCATCGCTTAAATGTGAGTGATGATTCGTGCCAGGCCACCCTCATAGCAGCGCTCTGAGAGAAACATAAGGGGGTGGATCCAGGTGTGAGCAAGAGCCTAGACATGTGTCAGGTACTTACCTAAACATGGATGTTTAGGTCACTGGCATACTGATACCATCAAGCTAATTCTTCTCTGTTAGTCTCTATATCAGTAAGGCTACATGCCAGTAATGTGTATTAAATATTACCTTGTGGTGAGTATCAATTTCACCCTAAAATGTTAATTTATTCCCTTTGGTGGTTAAGTTACTTGGACTACCATCGTGATGCCTCTGTGTCCCCTCACTCAGGAGGTATGAAAGCTTCTCTAAGGAAGGAGCAGTGGTCTGGTCTCAGTGTGGCAGCAGACAAAGCCAGGCTTGCACTTAATTCTGTTGAATTCTTTCTGTCTGGTATGGCCTCAAAAGGTGCAGAATGATCACAAATACCTTTCGACAGTCACCTTTGGTTTTTGCCCTTGCCAACACCTAGCACTTGTAGGTGCTGTTGGTTTAAGGAACTTGGAGTATTGAGGGCTTTGACAGAAGTCTTCCTGAACTGTGCTTGGGACCAGGAAGGCAGGCAGGGCAAGCTTGGTCATTTCAGCTGTGCTGTGCCTGGGTGGGTGGAACCTGTGCCTTCTGATGCATCTTTCCTCCTCTGTCCCCCTCTGAGAACCCCTTGTCTGTGCTCAGATGGATGGGCAAATAGTCTCTTCTCCAACCCCCAAAACCCCCTTAGATTGGGTGAATTCAATAAAATCAAAGCCTCAATTAGGCGATATAGGAAAAGAGAAATTTTCTGAATATAATTTTCTTTAGTAAAAGGCTTTTGGTCACCTGTTATAATTTCTTAATGTCTTTATGGAAAAAATAAGTTTCTCTTGAGCCTTTGGTGCACAAACAGAATCACCAGCCCTTGGAGGTACATGTATCTAATGACAGAGCAGCCCGTGACTCGTGAGCATCAGGCTCACTTGTTCCTTGCTGTGATTGCCTCTGGGGGTGGAGGCTTTTGGGAGGCCCTGCACCATGGTGCAGAGGAAGACCCCTGACTCCTGGGAGCCCTGGGCAGGCCGTGGGCACGGCTTTGCAGAGAAAGATGGACATGTCAGGAAGCATGTTAGCTTAATAGATGAAGTGTATGACCAGTGGAATTGGGTTTTATGGATTTATCTTTATCTTGCATATAAATCAGGGTGTGGGCTATATATGTTTGCCCATTTAATAAAAAAAAAACATATTTCAAATGTTAAAATGTAAAATATACCAGCAACAATAGCCAATTTGAAATACATGTTTTCAAAGTAACATTCATAATATCAATGAAGACATAAAATACTTAAAGATGAAGAAAACCAGCAAACCATACTGAGGCAAGAAAGAAAACATGGGAGATTGGAGAGGTAGAGAGGTCTGGATGCTGTCCATGTGCCTCTGCCCAAATTACCATATCATTTCAACATAAAACTGGCTTGTAAATTTTACTGGAATCTGGTAACCATGTATCATAAAGTATCTGGATATATACATGAGATAATTGGCAACTTTTTAAAAGAAGAGTAATGTCAAGTGATGTATGAAAATGTAACTGAAATGGATGGAACTCTTTGAAGAACAGACAGATAAATCAATAATAGAGATAGATAACCTACCGAAGACCCCGTGATAAATCAGCATGAAATAGCCAAGGCAGGAGGAAGCATAAGACAGGAATGGTATTGGAAGAATCGATCAGGCATTTAAGATAATCAGTTTACATTATCAACTCCTTATAGACTAGGATAAATTGCCGGGAAATGAAAGAGTTATATTTTTATACCTCCAACCACAATAACTAGATGTAAATATAGATCCAGCTATGCAGGATACAAAGTTGTATTTTCAATTTTGGAAAGAGATGACATAGAGCAATCAAGAGTGACTAGAAATGGCCTACACATCAACATTTGCCTCCATAATTTCTAAATTTTCTACAATAGTCGGGGTGCTTTGATTTTCAGGAGTTTGCTGTGTGCTCAGGGATAAGGGACTCTGGGTTTTTCTCCACATTGCCCAGATCTGCTGTAGGTTCTTGGGGGCCACATTTTTGTATCTCAGTTCACTGTGCTGGTCCATGAAGTCAGACATTAGGTCAGACAGTTGTTTGCATCTCAGAGGGCTGCTGTTAGGGACTGACGGACGTAGTGGATTTAGGAGTATTATGAAAAGTTCAAAGGACTTGTCAAAGGGACATCAATACTTAATCCCAGTCCAGTCTCTGGCGATGGTGGTAGTGTCTGTGCATTTGGACTTAAAGAGGATGATGTGTGGTGAGCAGCTGTTGGAGGAAGAAGCATTTGCACGTAGCTGGTCATTGGCATTGCTGTGGCTGCCTCTGCCTGTCTGGCAGTGTTGCTGGGAAGATTAGAATTAATCTCTAGGAAGGGCCTAGCTCTTGTAGGCACTTAACAAATGTCAGATTTAACATTGGACACGACTGAACCCTTTAAATGTAAGCCTTTCTAAACTGGCCTCTCTAACTGTCTTTGACTTTAGTCATTAAAGAAGAAACTAATCACAGTGAAATGGCAGAAGACCTGTGCAAGATAGGATCAGAGAGATCTCTCGTGCTGGACAGACTAGCAAGTAACGTCGCCAAACGTAAGAGTTCTATGCCTCAGAAATTTCTTGGTAAGAGTTAAATGTTTGCTGTCTCTTAAAAAAAAACTATGTGGGTGTTTTAGATGCAAGTAGAAATTAGTTGAGGGTAGAAGAAAGGGAAAAAAAAATCTTAATTTTTCAAAAGCAAAAATTGGTAAGCTTAACATTCCTTAAATATCTTAGAATTTTTTCCAATAAGTGTCTTAGAAATGACAAACCTCACATCAGTTTTTCCTAGATGTGATTTTGCAGCATCTGGGGGTGCACTGTGATCTGCCTGTGGACATCGCTCCTAGGGGCGGCTGCACCAGCGTGCACAGGGTGGAGAGTTTGGGACTGGCTTGGCTGGGGGACACCACACTGCAGGACACTCCAGGCCTGGCCGGCTTCTCAGAGCTTCAGATCCTCATTTTTCACCTGAAGCTCTTAACTCTCCCCTTATGGGGGACTCTGAAGGGTTAATGGGAAGACTCATACAGTGACTGGCCCCTGAGAAGTGTCCAGTGAAGACAGGGCTTAGCTAGGATTGCTGTTTTGCCTAATGCTTTGCGTGATTAAAAAAAAAAAGAAGAAGAAGAAGAAGAAGACCATCCTTCTCTCTAGGAGTAATGCCCAGAGTAGGTGATAGACGCATCAACACCACCATCCAGCCAGACGCTGCAGGGACAGCAAGCCAGGGTCCAAGTGGAAAGGCGGTAGGCTTGGGAACCAGCTCAGAGTCAATACACAGCCACTGCCACTCGCCAACTCTGTCACCTTAGTAAAATGGCTCTCCCCCTAGAGCCTTGGTTCCATGCTTTAGTATCCTCACAGGGTGTTTGTGAACATCCCATGACTCCGAGATTGTGAAAACATTTAGAAACCCTCAGGGCGAAGGTTAACTCTGTCCAGGAAAGAGGACCAGTAAAAGCTTCATGAGGCTGAGAGGCACCTTGGAAGAAGAATAGGGTTTCAGCACATTCTAGGTGTTGGAGGAATGGGGGAATCTAGGCAGATGTTTAAGATCAGTGAGAAACCATGCTGACCACGAGGGCTGGAGTGGGGGCCTAAGGACATGACAGAGGAGCAGGGCATCTTCCCAGCATAACTCAGGTGCCCTTGGGGAAGCAGGAAAAGCAAAGGTGTCCTAGGCAGCTGTGCCACAGGATGAATGGCTTCAGATACCAGGTGAGAGAAGAACCCTTCATTCAGTCAGCAGGAAAGAAGCATTGCCTTATTTTTCATGAGAGCGATGGCTAGGATAGTAAAGACATCAAGTACCAAAATATGACTGGAAAAGGGAGAGTGCAGAGGCGGTGGCAGCAGGCATGGAAAGAGGGGCTTGTGAAGGAGAAGGGCTGCCGTCAGAGGAACATAGGGCTGAAGGCAGGGATCGGGTGAGGGAAACCATGAGTCACACTGACTCCAGTAGACTAGTGTGCCCTTGATGAAAAGGGTAACACCAGGTTCTGGGAAAAGACGGGGTTCTGTTTTTGACGTGTTGATTTTCAAGGACTTCTGGTGTCTGTGACACATGGGGAAATTGTGGTGGGAGAGAGGTGGGGCCAGAACAGGGGCTAGTGAGGCCAAGGGTCCCAGAGGGCACCTGTTGACCTGCAGGATGACAGGAAGGGGGAAGGACAGAGGCAAGACCAAGTCCTGGGCACCAGCCTCCCTCTTGCAGCTTCAAACAGGGCTCCATTTTGACCTTTTGATTAATTAGAGATTTGTCATAGGGTGGGGGTTGAGAGGAGCAAGGGAGAGAAGGATTCAGTGTACATAAAGTATGAAAGTCACTGGCTTAGCCAGTGGGGAGTTGTCCACATACACTTGAGCCTTTAGACCATGAGAACGAGGGAGGCCTTGCCATCCTGAATGGAGTAGGAGTGAGGTCCTGTGCTGAGCATAAGCTGTGGGATTCTAGCAGCACTGGGCACAGGGCCCAGCATCTGCTTGGAGGCCCCCGGGGTGGACACAGTGACAGAGAGATGGGTGGTGACTGGGATTTGGGCAGAGATAAGGCAGCGAGTGTGTGCAAGGGGAGTGAAGGGTTACTGACCTTAAGAAGCAGGGACGGCATCCTCTGTCAGGTGAGGAGCCTGGAGAATGCTTTGGTGAATGAACATTTGCAGCCCCTTTTAGCTTTTGGAGACTTGAAACCAAATGAGAAATTCATCTGTGAAACTCTCCTGGAGCCACTCCCCAACCCCCACCCTTGTGAGACCACAATGTGGGCGTTGGCTTGAGATGCTTCTGTGTTAGTAGAAGAAATAAACAACACAGTGCTCTGATGAGGCAAGGCGAAGATGAAAAAGGAGTACCCAGGGGACGTAGTAGGAACAGTGGACGAGGGTAGCAGAAGAGGAGTTTGGAGCAAAAGACTCACAAGCAGCTGCATAATCTGTTGGTGATTGGCAGTTCATTTGTAAAAACGATGCCTCTTCCTGCCCTAAAATGCCTACCTTACCCCCGCTTCAACTTGATGAGATTTCCATCAGTCACTCCCAATGTGTCACGGCTTCTGCAGCCCTAAAATTAAGAGGTGAGTGAGTCTCTAAGGCCCCTCTTCGCTTCTTGGATGCTGAGTTTAGCCTTCATGTGAACGTGGAAAGAGAGTAGGAATACAGCTGTTCTCACACAAGCTGGCCCAATAGTGGTTCACTTGGAAGAGCCCCATGCTTCAGAGTCAGCTCCAGCTAGGAGTGACTGGTGGCCTTGAGCGTGGTGCTGGGCTTAGTGTTGCCATCTGTGGGATGGGTGTGGGTCTGTTGCCCTGCCTCCTCCCAGAGCTGTCCTGAGGCTCAGAAGGGGTGATGGATGTGATGGTGCTCCCAACACTAGAAAGCATCTTAAGAATGTAAGATGATATGATTTTCATGATGACTATTGCTCAGAGTGGCATATAGTTTTGCTTTATTGATCCATAACCTATGATTAAAATTTTCTCCTTAAACTTTGACATGAGTGTGAATGAGTATTTGTTTTGCCAGCAACATTCCTCACCACTGGGGCCATTAAAGATTTCCCCCTCTGAGATCATGAAATACAGGTCAACAGGACTGATTAATCTAATTAGAAAAGAGCTTATATTAAATAGCAATGATAATTGTTGTTTTTAGTCTGTCTGATGCTTGACTTGGGAACATTTTTGAAATAGAGAAAAACACAAAGAGGAAAACAACAATTACCAATATTTGTGCTACCCATTATAATTATGTAGGTATATTTTCTTCTTTTGTAAGAAAAAGAAACCCTGTTATATTGTTAAAATAACACGAAGTTAATATAAAGAATTTTAATGCAAAGATTAATGTTTTCAAATCACCACAAAGCCCAACATCCAGAAATTACCAATATTAAAAGTAGATAAGTAACATTCTAAATATCTTCTGATGCATATGTATGTGAGTGGATAGGCTGATGAACTAGGTGGATCGATGGATTGGTAAATATGAAATACTTTCATAAAGATTCCAACATATCATACATGCCTTAAATTCAAGAGGTGAAGAGAGACCCGAACAAAAGTGGAGAAGTGGCTTATCTTAAATATCCTCTCACATAAAGGAATATTATTTTTAAAGGATCCTCTAAGATTAAAAATATGTATTATGAAAAACATTAAGAAATTTGAATTTTTTTAATCCAGTTGTTTCAAGTTAAGCAGTATTGACTGGCTCACTGCTTTGAAAAATAAGGACAGTATTCCAGTTCACATTCAGTGTTCCAGTGTTCACATTATCTTATTATTTTTACATTGTCCAGCTTTGTAATATTCACACTCTATTCTGTAATCATAATTCATAGTAGTTTATTTATTACTAACGCTATTTAAATAGATTCAAAGATCAGACCCTACCCTTTTATTCTTATTTCTGTTTATTTTGATTAATCTCTTAATTGATTGGACTTTACATTCAAGCAACTTTTTTAAAAAAGGTTTCTATAGATGTTCTATTTCTATCACTGTATTGTGTTTGAGGATGTTGGCCTGTTGCCTTCGTAATTGACGAGCATTTTGACAGAGTCTATGATCTTGGGCCACTCTTTCTTTTTCTCCCTTGAGAACTTTTTAGATTTTGCTGATGGCCCTTCTTGTTGAATGTTGCTGTGGAAACATCAAGTCTAGTATAACTGTTTCTTCTTCAAGGTGATTTGCATTTTATTCCTGAATGCTTGAGGGTTCTTTCTTTAACCTTGAAGTTAAATACCCTAATTAGGATGTATCTTGGTCTATTCATTCTGAATAAAAAATACCTGCCATTTAATCTAGAAAGTCCCTTTTTTTTCTCTCTTTATTTCTGGGAAATTCTCTTTTATATAAATATGTTTTGTTCCATCTATTGTGATCTCTGTTGAGGGATACCAGTTGTCCATATGTTAGATAATTTGTCTTCCATATCTGTTAACAGTTCTTTAAGTTTTTTGTTTATTTCTCTGTCTATTTTTACATTTACTCACTGTTCTCTTGTGGTTTTCCTCTGTCAGTAATTTAATTTTTAGTAGTTCCTGTTCTATTACTAACTCTATTTAAATAGATTTAAGGATCAGACCCTGCCCTTTTATTCTTATTTCTATTTTGATTAATCTCTTAATTGATTGGACGTTACATTCAAGCAACTTTTTTTAAAAAGTTTCTATAAATGTTCTGTTTCTATCATTGTATTGTGTTTGAGGATGTATTTTTAATCCATGCATTAATTCTGTAATAATATTATTTTGCTCCTTGTCTTGTCTCCTGAGATCCGAAATCTCTTTCTTCCTCTTATTCTGTTGCTTTTGTATTTTATTTTGAATATTTTTAAAATTGATTCCATGTTATGAAGCAGTTATGAGACATTTCCTCTCTTCTTGGAATTAAGGATTTTTTCTCCTAGGAGGGACTCGATGGTCTGTGTTTTACTTCCTTTCTTTCCCTGTATTTCTAGAAAATATTTTATTAGTAACCCTGACATTTCTTTTCATCTTGCTTATTCTTCTTGGTCTGATATAGCTTGATTGACATTTCAGCCTTCTTCCCACTACATTTTTCTTTCCTGTGAGAGCTATTGAGTTTTCTAAATCCTGAAAGAATGACAAAGATGGGGTTGGAGGAGTCTGGTGAGGCAAAGTGCAGCCTTTGTTAAAATACTTTTCCTTTGCTCTCTCTCCCTCATCTGAAATTTAGTTACATACCCTAAGCCATCAGCACTGTACCTACTTGGGGAATGCTTTCATCCCCACAGGAGATTCTCTGGGGCTTCGAGCCATCTTCCTCTTCAGTGTAGACCACAGAGGACTTTGCTTCTGTCCCAGGGAGCCTGCAGGGGCTCACTTCTCCATGGTCATCTGATTCTTGTCAGCCAAGGTTTCAACTGCTTTTCTGATCAGAACAGGGAAAATATACCTATTTGAATCATGTCTTTATAGATACGAGGATATGAGGGAAAATGCTGAGGTTATTCTTGACTCACACTAAAGATTTGGAAATGAGATGAGCAGCGAAGCTTTGCCCTACATCTCTTTCCAGAATTTCTAGTCTTTGAGTGTGTGTCTGTGTGTACTCACACACACCATAATGAAATACATATTATATATAATTATGTTTATATATAATATTCTATGACTATACATGACCTGTTCCTTTAGCTGATTGCTGTTGGTGAAATTTAGAGGTTTTTATTTTTCTTGTTTCATTGGGTATTAAGGAAGAGAAATTCTATGGTAATTTTCATGTGCCACAGTAATCTGACATATATGTTGATTTTTTTCCTACACCCATTTGTTGTGATACCAAGTTTGAAAACAACAGATTTCAGGGTTGCTTGGGAAACCACACAACCATGCCTTGGGGAGAGACAGGATGATTAGGTGGGAAAGCACCCTTTTGGTGGGGCTGTAAAGACTTCTATATTTAGCAAAATTGGCTACAAAGTCCATTCCCCTCAGTTTCTTACGTTTCTTGCTGTGATTCGGTAGAGGGATAGACTTGGATACAAACTAGAATGGATTCATTCTGTTCTGGAGTTAGTGTAACAAGACATTTAGCTGCTCAACACAAAAACAGAAACAAAAATTTGTGTGGTTTCAGTAATGCTATACAATTACTTTTTCTGACCTTTAATGGAGAGAAACACCACTTCTTTGGTCCCTACCATCAGCTTCATAGGGGTTTCATCCTGTTCTGTTTCTGGAAGGGCGTAACTGGCCATGCACAAGTTTTCTTTCTGTAATCAGAGTATATGTCACTTCTGACCACCAGTAGATGAAAACAAACAGAAACTAGGCTATTATATGATACATACCCATTGCAAAATAAGACATGAAACTCAAAGGTACTTTATGGTATAATTGGGCATATATTCCTGGACAATTCTTAATGGTCACAGATTTTATAAAAGGACTATTAGTAAATGTATGAATTACAGAGTAGTTTATCCTTCTGTTAGTAAGAACCAGCTGATGACCTCAGTGTCAGGTGCAGCGTGGGAGGTGTTGGGACCTTCCCTTGCCACCACCCTCACCAGCCATCATCAGCCATAACCTGCACATTGGGGAAGTTTTGAATTATCCCTCACTTTTGCCCCTCTTCAAGCTGTTCTTTCCACAGTGAATGAGAAGGCCACTTCTTCCTTCAAACCGTTCATTGGTTTCCATTTTCTTTTAGACAAAGTCTCTGCCTAGCTGGCCTCTGCCTGCCCCTCCTGCCTACCTCTCCAGCACTGCCCCCACCTAGGGCTCTGGTTCCCCAACCTTCACTCAGTCCTGCCACACCTCCCAGCCCGTTCTCCCTTCAGAAACTTCCTTCTTCTTGTCCCCAACACTGAGACACAAAACCCTCCTTGTCTGGCTGACTCTTACAAGATCAGAAACCTGTGTAATGCTCTCATAGCAAGCTCCCCTTGTCTTCGTGGATTTCTCAGATGGGAAGGAATTATCTGTGCAATCATGCATGAACTTCTACCTACCCTCCCTTAGTAGCTGTCTGCTGCGAAGGATGGGGACCATTCTCACTTGCTCACCATTCTGTCCCTCTGCCCAGTCCAGATGTGTTGAAGGATGGAAATATACAGAGTAGTGGTAAAATATAAACCATTCAGACATTCCAAGGATGGGCTTATGTGCTTTGACTCATTTATGTACCACCACTGAAAGTAGAACACAGCCGCAGTGTTGCCAGTAAGAGTGCAGTTACTGTAATTAATGAATTTGCTAATTAAGCCATGATTTCATACCGAACTTATGACCAACATATTGAGAAGGTGTGCCTTCAAGGAAATTTATTTTTTGTATTACGATATTTACTACAAAGCTAATTGAAGAAGCCCAATCTAGGCTCTGATTTCACCATTGCCAGGGAAGTGAGTTCACGGACTCCTGTGAACTGATGATGTTAGATCAGAAGTGTCTCGAGGCCAGGGCCCAATCACTGCTGAGGCCTCAGCAGTAGTTCCTTGTACATCAAGAATTCTCAGTACTTTTAAAAAATAACAGATGAATAACAACTATTTTCCCTGTAGCTCCCTTGCTATGCCTCCTACCCTCCACCACATGTTTCTGGGGAGCCCTGCTTCAGGCCTGCCAACTACAGATAATTACTTTTGAGTATCCTTTCCACTCTCATCACAAGACAGAGCTCATCTACCTTTGGGTTATTTGTCAAAAATGTGTCATTTTATTACAAAAATAAACAATCATCATGTATTTTGATAAAATTTTACACTAGATTATTAAAAGTATTAAATACAATTATTAAAATTATTAATTTAACATATCACATATTTTAAATATATTGTATATAATGAATAAATTATTATGTATTTTAATTCAATAAATGTATAAATTAGCCAGTTGTAAATTACTGAGAACACTCTACTGAAAAAGCATCATTTAAAATACACTATTTAAAATATTAAATGAAATACAATAACATAATTAAATTAATCTTGTGTTCCCCTATTTATTTATTCATTTATCCAACAAAATCGCTTTAAGTGCCTATGATGGGTGGGTCCTGGCTTGGTGCCCCCTAGACAGATGCATGGGCCTTCCCCCAGCCCGTCAGTGTGGTGCAGGTGTGACGTGTCTGCAGGTGTGTGTGTATGTGTGCAGGTGTGGGGTCCGCAGGCGTGCTGGGCCCCCAGGCGGTGTTCCCCCTTCCCTCCCCGGGTGTAGATTTCAGCTGTTGCTGCGGGACCTGACCAGTTCCGGAGGTGGCCGCGCCCCACTCACTGTCGCCTGCTTTCCACAGGGGACAAGGGCCTGTCCGACACGCCCTACGACAGCAGCGCCAGCTACGAGAAGGAGAACGAAATGATGAAGTCCCACGTGATGGACCAAGCCATCAACAACGCCATCAACTACCTGGGGGCCGAGTCCCTGCGCCCGCTGGTGCAGACGCCCCCGGGCGGCTCCGAGGTGGTCCCGGTCATCAGCCCCATGTACCAGCTGCACAAGCCGCTCGCGGAGGGCACCCCGCGCTCCAACCACTCGGCCCAGGACAGCGCCGTGGAGAACCTGCTGCTGCTCTCCAAGGCCAAGTTGGTGCCCTCGGAGCGCGAGGCGTCCCCGAGCAACAGCTGCCAAGACTCCACGGACACCGAGAGCAACAACGAGGAGCAGCGTAGCGGCCTCATCTACCTGACCAACCACATCGCCCCACACGCGCGCAACGGGCTCTCGCTCAAGGAGGAGCACCGCGCCTACGACCTACTGCGCGCCGCCTCCGAGAACTCGCAGGACGCGCTCCGCGTGGTCAGCACCAGCGGGGAGCAGATGAAGGTGTACAAGTGCGAACACTGCCGGGTGCTCTTCCTGGATCACGTCATGTACACCATCCACATGGGCTGCCACGGCTTCCGTGATCCTTTTGAGTGCAACATGTGCGGCTACCACAGCCAGGACCGGTACGAGTTCTCGTCGCACATAACGCGAGGGGAGCACCGCTTCCACATGAGCTAAAGTCCTCCCGACCCCCGCCCCACCCAGCCATCCCAGGAAAAGCACAAGGACTGCCGCCTTCTCGCTCCCGCCAGCAGCATAGACTGGACTGGACCAGATAATGTTGTGTTTGGATTTGTAGCTGTTTTTGTTTTTTGTTTGAGTTGATTGATTGGGGTTTGATTTGCTTTTAAAAAGATTTTTATTTTTAGAGGCAGGGCTGCATTGGGAGCATCCATAACTGCTACCTTCCTAGATGTTTCCCCAGACTGCTGGCTGAGAGTCCCTCACCTGTTGCTTCCTAGAATCCCCTTCTCCAAGCGATTAGTCTAAATTTTCGAAGAGAAATAGATAAAACACGGCACAGCCTGGGAAGGAACGTGCTCGTCCCTGTTCTAAGCACTGGGTTTGCGCACCAGGTGTCTTTTTCCAGTCCCCAGAAGCAGAGAGCACAGCCCCTGCCGTGTGGCTCTGCAGGTGAGCAGACAGGACAGGTGTGCCGCCACCCAAGTGCCAAGACAGCAGGGCCAACAACCTGTGCCCAGGCCAGTTTCAGGCCACATGCATCTAAGGCGGAGAGGCTACACTGTTGAGAGAAAATACTATTTTAAGTCATATTCTGCGTAGGAAAATGAGTTGTTTGGGGAAAGTTGTGTCTGTCAGACTGCCCTGGGTGGAGAGAGACGCTGGGCTAGAGCCTTTGGGATCCTCCTGGATTCGCTGGCTTTGCGGAGGCTGCTCAGATGGCCTGAGCCTCCGGAGGCTTGCTGCCCCGTAGGAGAAGCCTGTCTTCCCGTGGGCATATCTGGGGAGCCCTGTTCCCCGCTTTTTCACTCCCATGTGTTTAATGGCCCCCAAAGTCTGTCACTACAATTTAAACACCAGTCCCGAAGTTTGGATCTTAATTCTTTTTGAACCTCTCAAATGGCAACATTCCTCAGAAACCAAAGCTTTATTTCAAATCTCTTCCTTCCCTGGCTGGTTCCATCTAATACCAGAAACCTCTTTTCCTGAGGAAATCCAATCCTGGCCCTCATTTTAATTATGTACATCTGTTTGTAGCCACAAGCCTGAATTTCTCAGTGTTGGTAAGTTTCTTTACCTACCGTCACTGTATATTATTCTCGTTTTAAAACCCATAAAGGAGTGATTTAGAATGATCATTAATTTTCAGCTCAGTGAAATACGTGAAGCCCAGCATCTCTGTTGCTAACACACTGAACTCATCTGTTTGAAACTAAGCTGTCAAACATGTTGAAGCTCTTTACTGTAAAGGCAAGCCACCATGTGTGTCTACACATACATAGGATGGCTGGCCCCGCGCCTGTAAGATATTGGAATGCACAGGGCAATCGAGGGACTGAGCCAGACCTTCGGAGAGTAATGCCACCAGATCCCCCAGAAAAGAGGAGGCAGGTGGCACTGCAGGTGAGAACCCTACCCGTCCATATTATGACATGGAGGCACTGAAGCCCAAGGAAGGTGTGTGGAGATTCTAATCCCAACCAGCAAGGGTCTCCTTCAAGATTAATGCTATCATTAAGGTCATTACTCTCAACCACCTGGGCAATGAAGAATATACCATTTCAAATATTTACAGTACTTGTCTTCACCAACACTGTCCCAAGATGAAATGAAGCAACAGAGAGGAAATTGTACATAAGCACCTCAGCATTTAATCCAAACAGGGGTTCTTAGTCTCAGCACTATGACATTTTGGGCTGAATACTTATTTGTTAGGCAGGAGCTCTCCTGTGCATTGTAGGATAATTAGCAGCATCCCTGGTCACTACCCAATAGACGCCAGTAGCACCCCAAATTGACAACCCAAACTCTCCAGACATCACCAACTGTCCCCTGTGAGGAGAAATCACTCTTGGTGGAGAACCACTGACCCAACTGAATTCTAAACCAATCAAAAGTCTGGGAAGCCCTCCCTGTCTCCCAAAAAAAAAAAAGTAGAAAAGCACTTGAAGAATATTCTCAATATTCCCAGTAGCAGTATCAAGCCTGACTTGTGTTCCTGTGGAATCATTATAAATTCTATAAATGAATTATTCCCCTTCAGTCTTCAAAAATATATTTCCTCATAAACATTTGAGTTTTGTTGAAAGGATGGAGTTTACAAAGATACCATTCTTGAGTCATGGATTTCTCTGCTCACAGAAGGGTGTGGCATTTGGAAACTGGAATAAACAAAATGGCCGCAACAATGCACTGAGTGAAGGAAGAGAGAGAGAGGAGCCAAGGGCTTTAGACAGTCCTCCTTCAATATGCAATTACAGAGAAAGATGCGCCTTATCCAAGTTAATATCTGTAAGGTGAGAGCCTTCTTAGAGTCAGTTTGTTGCAAATTTCACCTACTCTGTTCTTTTCCATCTATCCCCCTGAGTCAGTTGGTTGAAGGGAGTTATTTTTTCAAGTGGAATTCAAACAAAGCTCAAACCAGAACTGTAAATAGTGGTTGCAGGAATTCTTCTCTAAACTGCTTTGCCCTTTCCTCTCACTGCCTTTTATAGCCAATATAAATGTCTCTTTGCACACCTTTTGTTGTGGTTTTATATTGTAACACCATTTTTCTTTGAAACTATTGTATTTAAAGTAAGGTTTCATATTATGTCAGCAAGTAATTAACTTATGTTTAAAAGGTGACCATATCATGTACCAAAAGTTGCTGAAGTTTCTCTTCTAGCTGGTAAAGTAGGAGTTTGCATGACTTCACACTTTTTGTTGCGTAGTTTGTTCTGTTGTATGATGGCGTGTGTGTGTGTCTTGGGTACTACTGTGTACTACTGTGTGCCTAGATTCCATGCACTCTCATTGTGTTTGAAGTAAATATTGGAGACGGGACGGTAACTCATAACAGGTTGGCCTGTTGATTACAGCTAGTAATTGCTGTTTCTTGTTCCTCCCCCTCTCTGACACCCCAGCTTCCCAAGATGTGGAAAGCCTGGATCTCAGCTCCTTGCCCCATATTCCTTCTGTAATTTGTACCTAACGAGTGTGATTATCCTAATTCAAGAGTCACTAAAAATCATCACATTATCATTGCATATCAGCAAAGGGTAAAGTCCCAGCACCAGTTGCTTCACATACCAGCATGTTCCATTTCCAATTTAGAATTAGCCACATAATAAAATCTTAGAATCCTCCTTGAGAAAGAGCTGCCTGAGATGTAGGTTTGTTGTTATATGGTTCCCACCCCCCCCAATTTTTGTGCTTTTTTCTTGTTTTGTTTTGTTTTGACTGCACTGTGAGTTTTGTAGCGTCCTCTTCTTGCCAAAACAAACGCAAGATGAACTGGACTTACGTAGACAAATCATGACACCAGTGTATCCTTCCTTTCTTCAGTTCCAGCAATAATGAATGGTCAACTCTTTTAAAATCTAGATCTCTCTCATTCATTTCAATGTATTTTTACTTTAAGATGAACCAAAATTATTAGACTTATTTAAGATGTACAGGCATCAGAAAAAAGAAGCACATAATGCTTTTGGTGCAATGGCACTCACTGTGAACATGTGTAACCACATATTAATATGCAATATTGTTTCCAATACTTTCTAATACACTTTTTTATAATGTCGTGTGTGGTGATTGTTCAGGTCGAATCTGTTGTATCCAGTACAGCTTTAGGTCTTCAGCTGCCCTTCTGGCGAGTACATGCACAGGATTGTAAATGAGAAATGCAGTCATATTTCCAATCTGCCTCTATGATGATGTTAAATTATTGCTGTTTAGCTGTGAACAAGGGATGTACCACTGGAGGAATAGAGTATCCTTTTGTACACATTTTGAAATGCTTCTTCTGTAGTGATAGAACAAATAAATGCAACAAATACTCTGTCTGCCCTATCCCGTGAAGTCCACACTAGCATGAGAGAAGGCCCATCAGAGCAGGAATCTGCCGAGACTTCCTCCCAGTGAGATCCCAGTATGAGAGGGAGAAGAGATGGACCTCGGGACAGCTGCAATACCACTTGGGAACACATGTGGTATCTTAATGTGGCCGGCGCAGCACTTCAGTGCGACAGACCTCCCGTCTACAACAGTGCTGGACGTGGGCATTCTGGGCCCCAGTCTGGAGGGTGGGTGGAGATAGAGGGCAACAAGAGATACATTTCCAGTTCTCCACTGCAGCATGCTTCAGTCATTCTGTGAGTGACCGGACCCAGGGTGGTGGGAGCACAGAGGACAGAGTGACCACAGCGAGTACACCTTCAGCATAGGCAGTTTGCAGAGCCACATGCTATGCCAGGACTGAGCCAGTGATGGGAGGTTTGCCTGAGCTCTGCCACGGAATTGTACTACAACAGACTCTCTGTGGTGAAAATCCTTGTCCCTTTCGGATGACTAGCCAGACATCATTTGGGTTCAGATCTAGCAAATCAAGTGAGGTGACTACCTTTAATGTGGCACAACATCAGACCCAAACAAGATGAAATTCTAGTGACATAAACAGTGGATTGGGTTTCACATCCGGGCCTGGCACCACTACCCAAGAAGGACTTTTTAAAATATCTTTGCCAAGGCAGCATCTTTAGGAGAACTTTTCAGCCTCCTTAGGTTACCTCATTGAGGGATCATGTTGTATACATGTACATATACATATAATGATACATCTGTTTGCAAATTTGTCCAGTCATTTTTATAGCTACACCCTGCACATTTCCAGTGATCATGGTGCAAAAAATAATAATAATAAAGAATACCTACAGTTAGTTAAAAATAACCTGGACTCAAACTAAGAGGAAAAAGTAATTCAGAAGGGTGAGAGGTAGGACAAGAGGGTGAGAAATATGTTGATGTATATTTTTGTAAAACTGTATGGTACAGCCTAGCAGCTCAATGCCTTAGGAAGCTAGACCAGCAATGTAGTGACATAAAAGAGAGGTTCCAAAACTCTTTTAGGAGCCATGGGGAGGATGACAGCCTTCATTTCTTGGTTTTCAGTACCTTGTCTTTTACAAAGTCATAAGAATTATCCTCAACATAGCCTTTGACGCTGTAAATCTTGAGTATTCATTTACCTTCTTCTGATCTCCTGGAAACAGCTGCCTGCCTGCACTTCTCTTCCCGAGGAGTGGGGTAAATTTAAAAGTCAAGCTATAGTTTGGATGTTAGTATAGAACTTTGGAATTGGGAATTAAAAATCAGGACTGGGGACTGGGAGACCAAAAATTCCTGATCCCATTTCTGATGGATTTGTCACAAATTTTCTGTCAAAATAAAATGTCTTGGAGGTTATGACTCCTTGGTGAAACCTTCTCACATTCTCATTGGAAGCACGTGGGTTCTCAAGGAACAGAATCCCTTTGGCTGTTTCCAAAACTCATGTCTTTTCTTTTATGGCCTCACAACTCCAACACAGGGCCGGGCACAAAAGAGACACTCAAGGGATTGATTGAGCAATTGGTAAAAGACCCGGAGGAAGTTCTCAGACAACTAAAGCAGAAACTCCACATTCCTCCAAAGCCCAGGACATCTTTCTGAAAACTTCTGGCCTTTTCTTTGCACCAGAACCCAGAACAGGCTGGCACAGGGTTGCTGTGCGGAGCTGAAGTCAAAATGTTGCTGTTGCCTGCACAGATCTGTCTTCTCTGACTTCTTGCAAATCATCCGCCCCTAACTTCCTCTAAGAAGGCAGAAAGGGATTCCCCGTGGCTCTTAGAATAGCAACCCTGCCCTCAGCATCCTAGGCTCCCACCAGCTTTTCCTGCCATTAAACAGGCTTTAACAAAACCAACCCCCGGTTTTGAGCTGCCATGAGACTCCCTCACTGACTCCAGCCTTGCCCAGGCTCCAGTGCCTCCAAAGATCTCCCAGGACTTTATTTCCCAAATGCAGCTTGTAATCACCCAAGTGGCTGTTAAAAATGCAGCTTTCAGAGCCTCCTCCTGAACATTCTGGAGCTGAAGGTCTGGACACAGCCCACCCTCGAGGTGTGGGACCAGCCCCCAAGTCGTGCTAAGCAGACTCCCAATCCATTCCTCCTTGAGACAGTTACAGCCTTGCCTCTCTTCCTGGGCCCAAACCCATTTTTGGAATGGAGAGACGGAACCAATAATAGTCTCTTTTTTTTTTTTTCCTCTTGAGTTTGAAACAACCCAGATATTATAGATAAAAGAATCAAGAAGTGGGAAACCAAAAAACTAGCTTTCTTACTCATAAACCGAGTTGAGAGGACACAGCTTCACAGTGTGACCCCAGCGGGCATTACACTCATCCTGCATTAGACAGACTTGCCTACCCGGCCACAGGTAGCAATTAAGCTCAGGAGGCCCCAGCAAAGGCTGAGCGCCTGCCCTGCAGGACGGGGAGAGGGTACCAGAACCTACACCCTGTAGGCAGCAGATCCCCATGGAGCAAGAGGAAGCGCACTCGGTTCCTACATCCAGACTCAAGTCCAGGCCACTCCTTTCCTCCTGGGGTCCAGCAAAGGGCTTTACCAGAGTCCATCCACATGGAAACAGGGGTGAGAAAATTGAGTCCACAGCCATCCCTGCATCACTCCCTGGATCTCAGCCTGTTTCCCCTAATGGAGAAGCCAAGCCTGTTCACCTGGCCCTCCGTGGCCCACTAAGATGGAAGGCCATGCCCCAGCTGCCACTGGTGTCCACAATGACCCTCAGTGTCACACAGTCTCTCTCCCTGTCCGTCCTTCAATGGGAGCCTCCTAAAGGCCTCCTTACCTCCTGAGTCTCCTTACTCCTACCCAGACTTTTGACTTCTCAATAGTGATTGTGTTAAAGCAGGAACCTGATCAATCACTGACCCTACCCTGCACACAGATCTCCCCTGGTTTCCTGCTACTCCAAAGCCAAGTGCCATTTCCTCAGCCAGGAGCACAAGGTGGCCCTGCCTTAGAGGTATCCCTCTGGGCATGTTGAGATGTACATAAGGCATGGTGGTTAGGAACGGGACTCTGGAGCCACCAAGCCTGGGTGTGAATATCTGCTCTGTACATTAAGGCTGTGTGATATTGGACACATGGCCTAACCTCTCTGAGCCCCAGTTTTCTCCTCACTGAAAGCCTGGAGGGTTATAGTGAGGATTAAATCCTCAGTGTCTGTGGAGCACTGGGGTCAATGCTGCAGGAGTGGCTGTTCAGCCTTTCCTGCCTCACCCGGCATTTGTATTGCACCTTCTAGCCCCCTTATCTCATTCCAGCTGCATGACAGCCAAGTGAGACAGGAACACAACCACATCCCCCTTAGAGGTCAGACAATTGTGTCTGGGAAGCAACAAACCTCCTTCTCAGCCATCACCATGCTGGGCATGTTCTGCATGAGCCTGGGGAAGACGATACGTGCCCCGCTGTAAAGTGAAAGAACTGTGTCTCAGGGCTCCACAGAGCACCCAGAGTCCAGTGCAGCAGAGGCAGAATGGTCCCAGGCCCCTTGGGCCCATTCTTCTCTTGGCTCCCATTCCATCTCGGCAGTGCTTCCTCCAGGGAGGATGTGGGATTGGATACACAGGAATGACAGGGTTTGGCAATCCCATCGCTTCTGAATTCCAGGGCGGGGAGGAGAAAGACGCAGGTGAAAACCTGCTTTCAGAGGATTTTCCCTTGGCTGCCTCCTCAACCAAACTCACCCACAAATTGCACATCAAGTTTCCCAGCCTCCACCTTGGGGAGCAGGCTCTTTCACTTCAGAGAATTCAGAGGCGTCTCGAGGGGCATATGCCAGGGCAGGCACAGAGCAAGGAGGTGGGGTTGGGGGTTGTGGACAGCTCTGGTCCCCTCCAGCCCCACAGAGCATGCAAGGCGGCTGACACTGCTGGAGAGCTGGTCCCTGAAAGGATGGAGAATGCATGAATCTGAACTAGAAACAGAAGGGCAGGAGGAGCAGGAAAAGAAATGAGGGCCAAACAGAGTCTGAGCAATGAAGGGATATTTCAGAGCACTGGAAACACAAGCTAAGCTAAGCAGCAGGGGACTGGGAGAGCTCTGCAAAATATCAGGGAGCCTAGAGGTATCTAGTCAAAGATGAGTGCAATTGCAACCAACAAACTCAAGACCAAGGATAAGAGCAGGGGCATTTCCCCAATTACACAGTGCCCCTGCCCCCAACACACAATGACACATTTGACTTTTGACTTCATTCTGCTCTCTCCGCACTGCATCTTATCCCTAGCTCTTCTCAATCTTAAGATCCTTCATTGATTTGTTGAATAACTTGAGCTGCAAAGGGGAGACTGGGAAGCTGGAAATAAAGTAAATCAATTTCTCATTGATAAAAGAGATATTCCTGACATCACATAATGACTTGACCCACTCACATCACATCGCTCCTGAGCCTTCGATGCCTGGCTATGTGCTGGGATCAAGGCTCACAGCATCACAGGGGTTGGGGACTGTAACCACCTGCTTGTGCCATGTGTACTCCCTGTCTGTCTCTACGAATGCCATTGTCACCTCCAGTTCTGCAGATGAGGACTTTGAAGCTTGGAAAAGCTGAGTAACCTGCCTGGGGTCACACAGCTGGAAAGTACTAGGACCAGCACTTGCCCCTGGGCACCTGGCTCCTGTACCTGCACTCCAGAAAGCACAGGGAGAAATGACCCAGCACAAAGGTGATTAAAAAACAAGGTGCAATGAAAAGCGCTCTAAAGTGACAAAGTTCTGTAAAAGCCGAGTGGAAGGAAACATCACTTCTCACTTGAGGATTACAGAAGGCTTCCTGGAAGAGATCTTGTCTGATCCCAGCTTTTCAGAATGATTGGGATTGTGACATTGGAAGCAGCAGGTTGGGGGTATAAGAAGAAGGGCATTCAAAACAGAACAAACATGAATGAAGTCTGTTGTATGTCAGAACCAGAGGTCCAATAGCAGTAGCCCCGTTTGTCTGGAAAAGAGTACTCAAGGAGAAAAAAAATGGGAGATAAATTGAGAAATGTAGATTGAGGATGGACAGAAGGAGTTTGAACAGGTGAATAGGGAGGCATCCAGGAGCCTTAGCAGGTGAGGAGGAGGGGGTGATGCAATGGGAACTCTGGAGACGGGGAAGGGGGCCATGCCATCCAGGCAGAAGAGAGGCTTTGCCCACAGCAGGGGTGCTGACACTAGCCAGCAGAAGTCAGGAGAGGAGAGGAGAGAAGCAGAGAAGAGAGGACTGAACTCTGCCACTAGGACGCAGGCTCCATGAGCAGGGATTTTTTTTTTTTTTTTTTCATTTATTTAATGCCATATCCTCCATGTCAAAAAGAGTACCTGGAACATATTAGATGCTCAATAAATATTTGTTGCATACGATTGATTTAAGATAATTAAATCTATTGTGCTTTGAAGAGAGGTGAGGAGGTGAAACCCAGTCTCAGAGCCTATATGAGCCATTACTGAGAAAAAGGAAAATGGGCAGAGGATTTAAGGAGGGGAACTTGGCTTTGTGTAAGCACAGGTGGGACAGCTGGGTCCCCATGGATGGTCAATGCATTTGGGAGTCATGAGGCATAGGCTACTGTAATGGGGGCTGTGACAGGTCCATGTCACCTTAGGAAAGAGGTGGAGGGTAGGGGACGACTCTGGGGAGCATGGGGAGAGGAGAAGCAGGAGGAATTAGGCAAAGGAAATAAGAGGGTCTATTCCAGATAGGAAAGCCTGCTGGGGACAGCATCTCAGATTTGTTTTTTTAATTCAAAAAAGGAGGCCCATAACTAGGTTCAATAAAGCAAATGGAATAAGGAAGGGGGCAGAGATGAGACCACTGGGCCAGGTATTTAGGATGCTGGCAATGACCTTCAAGTGGTGGGTGGCAGTGGACTGCAAGGGTGGGCAGAGGTGCGCTCTGGAGAGCAGCTGGCACTGGCAGAGAAGACAGGAGCCTGCAATGCAGCCCAGGCCTCACGGAGGCCGATGCTTTGGAAAGGCCAAGTTCTTGGCCGCACTTTTCTAAGGAGAAAGGTAAGCGCTTCATGGGGATGCTCCCTTGCTTTTTCTGCTTTTTGACGTGGCCAAGACAGAAAGAAGGTGGACATCCCTTGAACTCTGTCTCCTGTCCATGTCTGGGATCTGGGCTGCTCAAGGCAGGCTGCATCACCTTCCAGCTCCAGGAGTGGCCAGGCAGGTCCTGGAGCAGCAGCCTGGCCCCTGTCCACGTCCCCTCCTCCCTGGCAGCAGGCCCTGGGCCTGGGCTGAGCAGATGGGCCCTGGTGACTCGGTGAATCGGAACCATGGGAAGCAGATGCACCCGCCATGGGTCCCCGGGCACAACTGGAACCTGTTGGGGGAGGGAATTTGCATAATAAGG